TTTGAGTTGGTCTTGGTCTGCATTGAGTGCGGCGATTTCGTCCGAGGTCTGTTCGAGCTCGACATGTTGCAGTCCGTCCAGAAGCGGCTGTTGCTCAAGGATCTCTATACGCTCCTCGATATAGTGCCGGATACGCTCAGCCTCGACATACCAAACCCTGATTTCGCTAATCCAGCGGCTGACCAGATGGTGTTTTTGGACAAGGGCGTCGAGTAGCAGACGGTATGTGTTTTTTCCATCCCCTCCATCGTGAAGTAAATCGCCATATTGCGTCTCCACACGCTCAATTGCTACCCCCGTGCTCCGAGTCCGCTCTTCCAAGTCCTGGATACCACTGTCTGTGGTGGTTGGCTTGAGCATCTTTGCCTGGATGAACTCGAGCTCGTTGCGAATGGGTGTGATGATCTTTCCAAACGCCAGTGAGCTCTTGAATTTGTCGAGATCATCAGATCCTTTCTCGAGCTGTAGTTGAAGTGCTCTATAAGAAGTCTCAACTGCAGACACTCTTGCTTCGACTTCTGGTAACTGACGTGTGTGATGTGGTAGTTTGTCGGCTGCTGCGTGAAATGACACAAGATCCTCTGTTTCTAGCTGTGCCAGACTTGTTTCAAATGACTCTAGTTGACCTTCATAAGTACCAATATCGTCTGTATGTGCTTGCGCTTGCGCTTGTGATTGTGATTGTAAATGTGCTTGTGCTTGTGCTTGTGCTTGTGAATGTAGTTGTGGTTGTGATGATGATGATGCTGTATTTTGTGTTTGTGAGGGAGAGGGAGAGGATGAAGGTGAGGGAGAGGGTGGATGTACTGATGATTGTGAAGATGTAAGTTGATTTTGGTTTGATGAATTGTCTAGAGATATTTCGTCTTCTTCGCCTTCTTGGTCTTGTTTGTGTTTATCATTATCTTTTGTTTTTATCTCATCTTTAGTTGTTTCTTCATCTCCGTCTTCTTTTTCTTCTTCGTTGTCGTTGTCTTCTTTTGGGGTTAAATCTCTATCTCGGTAAAAAGGAGTTGGCCGGGCAAATGATAGGTCGGTGAGTTGATTACGGACCGCGTTGATTCTCCACAAGACAAGCGAAGCTCGGTGTTCAAAGCTGGTCCGCAGAAGGTCAGCCTGGTCTGTGGCGCGATCGGATGGGATTAGTTTCACGGGTCGGGAAGTGTGATCGAGAGCATCTCGTAGGGATGTTAGGTAGTCAAGTACGATTTGTTCTGTGATGGGTTCTGTTGGGGGGCTCATCTGCAGACGGTCTGCAAAGAGGGAAAAGGCAAGTTGTTGGTTTGACTGGGGATTGTTGTTTTGGAGCATTGAGACAAGGTCGGGCACTGATTCGGGGAAGAATCTGTGAGCAATGCATAAGAAGACCTTTCCGTCTTGCCACGACTCATACAGATCGGTCAATGGACGAAGAAGAGATAGTTCGACGTAATTGCGTAGTTGTGTTTGACACCATGCCAGCATGGGTTGTTGGCGCTCAAACTTAGTTGTTGTGGGAGAGAGTGCCATGAGCTATATGTACATACATATACAAATATATAGATAGAGATATATAGAGATATATAGAGATATTGTGTGTTGTGTTGTGTTGTATTGTGTTGTTTAGTGTGTTTAGTGTGTTGTATAGAGTGAAAACGCGTCTTGGTTAATCGTTTGTAGTTTAGGCAAGTTAAAGAAGACTCTTACATGAATATTAGAAAAATGATAGTGCCAAGTAGTAGTAGTATTAAAGGTATTAGTATAAGAAGAAGAACAGAAAGTAAATGTAAAAGAAGTGTAGTTGTGTATGTAAAAATAAAAATAAAATAAAATAAAAAAAATAATAAAAAAAAAAAGTTAAAACCAAATTTGTATATAAAATATATATATAAAAGATATATATATAAAAGATACAAGTATTTCAAAAAAAAACAAAAAAAAACAAAAAAAGACACCTTTTTTTTGGTGGTTTTTTTTTGTCAAGTGCAACAAGAAGGTAAATAGGGAAAAAAAGGGGACCTTCAAGAAGAATAAAAGTAGAGCACAAAGAGCAAGGAGGAGGAATTGAAATAGAAGTCTAAAAGGAGCAATTAAATAACAATAATATATATGTATATATATGTATATATATTATGTGAAATGTATATAAGGACAATGATAGTGGTAATGGTAATGGTAACGATAATGATAATTGGAATTTGAATTTGAATTGGAATTATAATTATAATTATAAGTATAATTGTCTCTATTTTACAATTGTAAAATAGTTATACATGTGTGTAGTAAGCAGCTTGTATCATGTAGTGCGTTAATGTATATTACTAACGCACATCTCAAGTTATACACTCACAGACTACAAGTGCACTGAGAAAAGAAAGAGAGAAGATGAAATTGGGTGAAAGAGAGCCAAATTAGACAGACAAAGTGTTTAACAGCAGCTGACAGCGCTCCTTTGTTGGAAAGGAGACACAAGGTAAGCCAAATATGTAAATATACCTTTACACTGTATATACAACATAAAATACAGCAATCATAATATCCCCTCCTTCTCCTCATCTAACACCCCTTCTTTCCTTCCTTTATTCTATAACTCTCCCCCCTTTGACGTATAAGTACAGATATACAGACAGACAGACAGCTTTTATAACAAAGCTCTTCTTTTTCTGTTTTCCTTTTCATTACTCGTAACCTCTCTTTATAGCTCTTTATCTAGATAGCTCTTGGTCTGTGTGTGTGTGTGTGTGTGTGTGTATTTTATCTAAATTCTGTCTATCATTTTCTATTAATCTTTTAGCTTTAATTTTTCTCTATATAATAATAAAAAAAGACAATAGCTTACAGCTGTGAATATATACATACACATTAGACCTACAATGAACCTATGCGTTCATATTCACTATTAAACAAATAATTAAATTAAATTATATTAAATTATATTAAAGAAAAGGCAATTGATTAAAAATAAAGCAAGAGACAAGATCGTTTCGATCAGTTGCTGCTAGTTAGTCATTAATACAGCCAAGTTTAAAATTATCAAGTGTCTGCCTGTCTTTAGTTTTCTTACTTGGTTACGCTTCTTTTTCATTAATGCCGTTTTAAATCAACAGCGATAGTAATTAAAGTGATAATGCGTAGGTAGATATGTAAATATTAAAATATATAGTTCAACAAAGAAAGATAAAAAGAAGAAGAAGAAGCTTATAAAGATCGGCTCAAAAATTGACTATGTTTGACAAGGATGTGTAGCCCTGAATGATTGAACAATAGGACGACTATAATCACTACCGAGTTATATCACAATATATATATATAATATCTATATCTCATAAAAACAATAAATAGACTCTAAAACACCTAGGCAACAAAATTAATGAATTAATTAGTGAATTCATCAAATGTTCTTACATGAATTGAAATCATACTCCTTTTAATTGATAATCTACTCTAATGTATGTATGTTTGTATGTATCTATGTATGTATATTATCCTACATATTCTGTTCGTACGATAGGAAGCAAAATACAAGACTAAATAAACAAAAGCTGATTTCTTTCTTTTCTTTCCTTGTTTCTTTGTTTCTATTTTTCATGTACTTCTTTATGATAACTAAATAATAATAATAATAATTTAAAGGCATTAAACTAGTTTGATCTTGTTTTTTTTCTTGATTTGCATAGTCTCTCCCTTTTAATATGTTTGATCCAAAATCAATTTTTCTTTTCTTTTCTGCTTCTTATTTTCGTTAAACTGCAGTTTATTATTCAAGAAAATGATATATACATATATATATGTATATATATGTAAAAGGTATCTGAAAATTCTTGTACTGGTCTGGTTTTTTATAACTTTACTGACACTATTATTATTTCTTTTGTTGCATACTTGTTGTTGTTGTTTTTTTTTACAATAAAAAGAATGAAATGGTTACCATGACAACAATGAATTGAAATAAAGAAAAAGAAAAAGAAAAGAAGAAAAAAAGTGGTACTGTTAGTGGTGACTATTTTTATATATATATAAAAAAAGATAATATAACAGACGATAACTCTGGGCTTATATCCATTTCTTGTTTATTGTTAAAGAAAGGTCTATTTTAGATCAGTCAAGCTTATTAAGCCACTAATTAACCAAGCAAAAGATTTATAGATTTCACTCCTATTATATACTGCACCCTGCGCACTATATAATACATAATAGTTATGTGTGATTTTTTTTTTAAATTTTTTTTTGGACTCTTTACCATTCTTTCTTATTTATCGTCATCATTATCCCATTGGTTTTTATTTTGGGTTATTAAATTTAGAAAAATGCATGTGTTTATTTATAAATGGCTTTGTATTTTTATACATCTTTTTATAGATTTAGTCTATTTATTCTTTTACAGTTTTAGAAGCACCAAAGATACTCATTGCATGTCACATATCATTACAAATACAAGGCCCAGAAAGCAAAACAAAACAAAACAAACAATTAAGCAAAATATAATTATCATCGTTTAAAGAAAGAAAACCTTAAGAAAAAAGCCTCACCAACAATTTAACCCTTCAATTTTCAAGCTTAAATGAAATTCAATAAACCAACAAACAAACAAATTAATTTAAATCAATAGTTATGTATAGATTTATAGAGATACGTTTCATACGCGTGTATTTGTGCATATTATGCTGTCCGATAAGCTCAGTATGCAGTACATCTTGCTTGGTAGCCTGTTAGTCTGTTGTTATGCTTATTATTTTAATTATTATATTTTTAATTATTTAATTAGCACCAGAATGGTTGGCCTTGTCTGTTCTGTTCATCTACAAACATCCCCCCCCCCCTCTCTCTCTCCTTCTCCTTCTTTTATCATTAATAATATTTGGATTCTGATGACTCATAGTCTATTTGGGTAAATATATCTATATAAAAATTATCGTTTTAACTCTCTTTTTTTTATTTTATTTTATTTTATTTATTTTAAAAAAAAACTGATAATAATAATAATGATGGTAGTAATAACAATAATATTTTTTTCATATGATTTATAAAGAAACTTGGTCTTGTGTGTGGTCGGAAAGGTAGCGCATGAGTAGCAGTGTTTGTTCATATACCAGAAAGTTAAGAGAATGGATTGGAAATGCTCTGACGAGTGTGACGGTAATTCCACGATAAAATCCCAGTGTTCCCTTTGCCTTGTAGATGTCCCGGATGCAGTCTGAAGTGCGTCCATAGGTCGGACGCTGTGCCATGATTTCCTTTTGCATCAGTGACTTTACCAGGTCGATCGGAAACACAACGAGCCAGCACAGAATACCACAAATACCACCTGCAAGGAACTGGGTCAATGGTCCGGCAGGTTGACCAGATCCTTGGTTTAGCAAATATTTGGTTGTCTCATAACCACCAAAATATACACCTGTGCCCAATGCATCCCTTACTATACATACATAATTGAAAAAAAAATGATTAGCATCTTGTTTTTTTTTTTTGAACATATAACTAATGAACCGTTTATATGTACAAATGCGCACCCACACACACACACACACACATAGCTGTATTTACCAAAGTGAAGACCGAATCCACTCCACAGGCCAGGTAATCCCTTTTTCTTGATAATCTCTTTTGCAGAGTGCCAACTGGATGTAGAGATCTTTTTGGGTTGAGAGGAAGTTGCCTGTGGTCCAGCTCCAGCTCCAGTCCCCGCTCCAGCTCCAGCTCCAGATCCAGACCCAGATCCAGATCCAGACCCAGATCCTGGTGTTGATATTGATGCTGATGTTACTGTTCCTGCTCCTCCTGCTCCTCCTGCTGCTGCTGCTGCTCCTCCTCCTCCTGATGCCGCTGCTGATGCTGATAGTTGTAACGGTGCTTGTGCTTGTAGTGCTTGTAGTGATTGTAGTGATTGTGGCGATTGTGACGATGATATTGATATTGATATTGACGATGGCGTATTTGACGGTGATATTGGTATTTGTGTTGATGACGATAATAATGATGGTGACGGTGATGTGCAAGGTGGTTTTGCTGTAGAGGAAATGGGGATACCTGCTCCAACCGTCTTTACGATCCTTCGCATCGACCTCGGGTCATTCTCAGCCATAGGCCGCATGACGGTTGCGCCAGTCGAGATGCTGCTGGCCTGCAGTAAGAACTCGAGTTGCTTCTGTATCTTGATCAATTCAAACGGGCAACTCAGAGTCGCAATAAATGCACCTGTCACTACACCTCCAGTTGTCGACAGGACAAACGTAGATCCAAGACTGTCTTGATTAAAGAATGGGTAGTTGGCCTTACAGTATCTTTTGGTCTTTTCATAAACCGAGAATGAGACTGATTTGATAATACTGACGGTAATCAGAGGAGGTACAATGCCTTTATAATTTATTTTAATTTAATTTATTTAAAATAATAATAATAAAAGGTTAATTTATTATCATTATTGTTATATTTGGAAATATATAAAGTCAAGCCACACCACACCACACCACACTGCATAAATATATATATATATGTATATGTATAATTACCTCGAAAAAATCCTCGGATACCTTCTTCTTTGTATGTATGTCGAACACAGGCACTGATTGAATCGTAAGGTTGGGTTTGCATTCTTGTCTTGACAGAATCAAACTAGGTGTGTGTATATGTGTTTAATGGGGTTAATATTTAATAAATTAATGTATGTCTTTTACACAAGCATTCCCAGGCAGGTCCATTCAAAGAACTCTTTTAGATATTTCGCAGAATCACACAAATTTACCCACAGTCATATGTATATACTAATAACATCATTCTCCTTTCTATCTCCCCTAACTTACGGGATATCCAGCCAATACACCCACAACAGCAGCAGACGAAGCGGCAATGATAGTCCTGTTGGCTACACATTGCAATGAGTTTCATTTTTGCACACAATCTCCATTCTGTCTTCATTTTTTTTTTTGATTTGTTCTTTATTAATTAATTAATTATTACTTATTATATTTAACATTTTTTTAAAAAAAAAACATATATATATATATATATATTTCTTTTCTGGTTTGTTGATTGGTTGTTTGGTTGGTTGGTTGGTTGGTTATTAAGCACTCTATCGTTTACCCCACAACACCTCATGGGTCAGCTCTTTAATTGGAATTGAATGGACATGGGCTTTAGGATTGTCATTGGCACTCGTGCTTTGTTGTGACATGAGATAAATTAGGGGAGTAAATTACGCGATGTGTTGGTGATTGTAAATAGATAGATAGATAATATTTTATATATATATATATTATGTATAATAAGTGTCAGTACAACAATAAGAAGAATAAAGAAAAATGGAAAGAATAAAGTACCTTGCATACACAGCCATCCCTGTTGATCGGAATCTAAAAATGAAATATCTACTATGTATGTATATATATTTACATAATATAAAATAAGATACAGAGAGATAGATAAAGAAATTGTATATATATATATATATTACGAACAGAGCAATAGATATATAGATATAGTAGTAATGTGGAAGAGTTTATATAGAATTTTATACTTTGTTACTATTGGTAGTGGTAGTGGTAGTATTTATTTATTTATTTATTTATTTATTTTCGAATTATTTGGGCTTCTTTTTTTTTTAATGACGTATAAAGATTATAGATTGGCTGGAATTTTTCTATTGAATTATTATTATTTTTTACTTTATTTTATGTCATTTTAGTTTTGATTGATTATATAAACCGGACTGACTGTATTGACTAGCTAATTAAATATATGTATAATATTAATAGCAATAGCAATGATTAGTAATTAATAATGGTGGTGATAGATACATTTACTAATAATGACATACTTCTTTAACGTTTTGGTTTGAGGATTTAAAGCTATTAGAGATGGGCTTGAAGCTAAATTCTTATCTATATTTAACTGTGGCGCCCTTGTTTTGAAATAATTGATAACCTTTTATACCAAAATAAATAAATAAATAAATATAGGATTCTATTATTATTAATATTATTATTATTATTACTCTTCTTCTGCAAACAAATAACTAAAGAAAAGAATAATATTTGCTGTCCAAGTGACCAAAAGGATTTGTGTTTATAGACTGCAGCCTATGTAATGCTTGTTACGCCCACTCAAAATAATTGAAATCTATTAAAAGGGTGGCTAAGGCATTTTTGAACCAAAGGAAAGCTAAAACATAACCAACAAGCAAGTAAGCAAGTAAGCAAGTAAGCAGGTGAAAGAAGAAGATCATTTTGTATGTTTGTGCTTGTGCTTGGGCTTGGGCTTGTGCTTGTGCTTGGGCTTGTGCTTGTGCTTGTGCTTGTGCTTCATGTTTGTATTTGTGCCAAAAATAAAACAAAATTCAAGATTTTGATATATCTATTTTTTTGTATATTTCGCACATGAGTTGTGATTTCTTATTTATTTATTTATTTATTTTTATACGCATACTAAAACCTTCTTTTAATTTACTACTATTTAAAACTAGTGATTGCTTCATTGATCGATTGATTGATTGACTCTTATGATTCTGGTATAAATACAAGGGTATCAATCGACTTCTTTCTTTCTTTTCATTCGATATTCAAACCTCTTCCTTTCTTGCTTTCCCTTTTACTCCAACAATTTCCTGAATTTTCTTTCTATTTATTAATAGGATATTCTCTTTTGCTTGTCGTCTTTGAAATTCTCTTTGTATTCCATCTATAGACTCATTTGATTTTTTTTTTAAAATAATAATAATAATAATAATTCTATCCCCCTTTCCTTTGTGCGCTTATATGTATACATACATTGAACGTATACATACATAATTATATACCTTACATACTTTGGACACTATACACTCCATACTCCATACTCCATACTACTAATATTATTAATATTAATATAAATACCAACGAAAGATGGCCTATCCAAGGAATCTCCCTTTTTCTCTTTCTGCTCAATCTGCAGAAAGGCAACCTTTACTACACCCAACCCCACCCACCAAACCTGCCCTCCTCAAGAACCCTTCGAATCCCTTTCCAAAGATGCCATTCTGGACAGCAGCAGCAACCTGTATATCATGCCTTGGAGGATTCTTATTTGGTAATTTATTTATATATATCTAATTATATAATGATTTATATTAATCCCAACACCAACACTTGTATATTTTATACATACATACATAGGATTTGATCTGGGTGTCGTCGGTGGTCTTCTTATAGCCCCTTCCTTCTTATCATATTTCGGTATCGACCCCAATAATAAGGAGCAAGAAGCAAATATTAGTGGCAATGTTGTCTCTATTCTTCAAGTCGGTTGTCTCATCGGTGCTCTTATGGCCACAAGTACAGCAGGTAAATATCCCCACAACAACAATAAAGAATTACTATTTGTTTATTTGTTTGATGTGATTCTCTTACTGCTTAATGGTGTAACTGATCCATGTACACACTCACATATACTTACATACATACATACATACATACATACATACATACATACATATATACGTATATCATCATGTAGATAAACTAGGTAGAAAGTACAGTATTATCATTGCTGCGGGCATTTTCACAATTGGTGGCATAGTACAGGTGATCGGCTACAGTCTAGCTGTATTGTATGTAGGCCGCCTGGTAGCAGGACTAGGTATGGTTAAGAATACAATCATTACATATATACTTGTACAATAATCTCTATTTATTATCATTATTCTTGCTGTTATTAATACTCTAAATGTATTATGTATAATATAGGTGTTGGTGCACTCTCTATGCTTGTACCAGTAAGTATAAGAAACGTAAAACAATGAGTAATGATTTAATAATTAATTAATCGATTAATTAATCAATTTTTTTTAAATAAATAAATAAAAATAATAACCATCATCATTAAGGTCTATGTTGCTGAAGTAGCCCATCATAAACACAGAGGCTTTTTGGGTGGTCTCTGGATGTTTTTCATTGCAACCGGACTTGCGTCTTCGTACTGGACCAATTATGCAGTCAAGCGACTCGTGGACAGCAACGACAATAATCTCTGGCGTATTCCGCTGATCATCCAGACCGCCCCGGGACTGATTATGCTCTTTGGTATGCTTTGTTTGTTCGAAACACCACGCTGGCTGGCTGCGCACGGAAGAACAGACGATGCACTCGAGGTCCTGTCAAAGGTCAGAGGGTTGGCACAGGACAACAAAGAAGTTGTCGAGGAACTCAAGGCCTTGACGCTGGCATTCCAACAAGGAGCAGGACCAAACTATGTGGACCAGACCAACATGAGCTGGAAGGCAGTCTTGGGCCCAGAGAACAGACGGCGCCTGTTGACCGGCTGTGCAATCCAGTGCTTCCAGCAAATGACAGGCACAAATGTGGTAAACTACTATAGCCCAATCATCTTCCGTTCCATCGGCCTGTCGTCTGGCGAGTCCGAGCTCTTGGCTACTGGTGTCTATGGCCTGGTCAAGATGTTTACTGTCCTTATTGGCTTCTCGGTACTCGTGGATCGGTTCGGCCGGCGTCCTCTCTTGGTCTGGGGAGGAACTGGTATGGGTGCATGTCTTTTGGCAGTCGCAGTGTGTGTTGCTAGCCGGCCAATGAGTATTGAAGAGCAGATCGCTCCCTCTGCATATGCTGTAAGTTACATTACATTACATTTTATTTTATTTTGTTAACCCCCCTTTACCTCTTTATATATATTTATTTAGGGTATTGTTTGTATGTTTGGTAAGTTTATATAAATGAATTCGAGTCTTTTTTTTATTATTATTGTTTTAATTTACTTGCTAAACTCTTTGATTATTTTTTTGTTATCTATATACAATAGCATTTGCGGTATTTTTTAGTGTCTCTTGGGGTCCAGTTCCATGGCTCTATTGCTCAGAGATCTACCCTATGCGGTTAGTATATGGCTACAAGTCAACAAAGCTCACGACCCAAACAATTATCTGAAATGAATTGAATGCATAGAAGAATAACAATACTCATTCCTTTCTCCTTAAAATTTTTTTTGTTCTTATTGCATACACATTTAGTATGAGAGCAAAGAGTGCTTCAATCACAACTGCCATTAACTGGTCCTTGAATGCCGTGATTGGCAAGATCAGTCCGCTTATGCTAGGTAAATAAAATAAGATAAAAAGACATATTATACATATTGCTTATATGCTTCATACTCTTATAATTATAATTTTTTTTCTTTGTAATCTTTTTGGGGGAAACCTTTATAGCCAAGACTACAGTTGGTACCTATAGTTTCTTTGGCGGGTGTTGTATTCTTATGAGCTTAGCCTGTCACTTTATCATCCCTGAAACCAAGGTAAGATTAAGAAATGATTGTACAACACCCTTTCTTTGCTGTTGCTGTTAATGTTGTTTAGAGTTCTATCTATATAAAAAAAAACCGGTTTACTTTTTATTGATACACAAGTACGCACTTTCTTTTTTTTTTTTTAAAAAAAAAACAAAATTGGTAGGGAAAATCCTTGGAAGAAATGGAAGCACTCTTCCAACCGAATACCCATAAGATTAGAGACTCAAATGACGGAATGGATACCAAGAACCCTACTTATTCGATTGCTTAAAGAGAAGCAAGAGAATCGAATATCTATATCTATATCTATACATACAATATATACAATATCTATTCTATCACTCTTAGACATCTTTATAACATCTGTACCTATTCTTGCATAACCGATTTATTATTATTATAATTTCTATATCATTTAAAATAAACCAATGTCCTTTCCTTTTTCTTTCTTTTCTTTTACTATAGCCTGCTACAGGTATGAATAGCAGATTAAAAAGACTCTTGCTTCCGAGCAACAAACTTTAATCTATCAACCGAATCTATCTATTTTATGATTAATTAATAAACCATATTTAAATTTTTATTAATATTATTAACCTTTCCCATTCATTCTCTCTAATTCTCGATACATTTTTTTTAAGGAGCGCGCTTATTTGGTTACTCCGGGTATTCTTTCTTGTGAAAAAAAAATAAAAAAAATTATGATGTCTTTTGCGTATCAGAAATATCCAATAAGAAAAAAGCAAAGGAGATGGAAAATATAAAACTATTTATCACTTTTTTTTTTCTTTTTTTTCTTCTTCTTTAGGGTTTATGCTATTGGATAAAAACGTATAAAACAGAATATACGCGAAACCTATTTTTATATCATCGCAATTTCTATCTTTTTTTGATTTTTTTTGTTTTTTTGTTTCCTAAAAAAAATAAAATATTGAGTATCACCAGACCTCTCAAGCTTAATAATAATAATAAAAAAAAAATGTCGGAATATATTCCGCGTACCTATTTTGCTTTTTGCTTTTTTTTTCTTCTTCTTCTTTGTAACCATTGAAACCAGGCATGGTAGTTGGTATAGGAAAGAGTACAAGAAGAAGAATAATAATACATCTATCTATCAAGTGTTATAGTCACTCTATCGATTCAATCACTCAGCTTTCTTACTCAATAATTATCTTTTCTTTTTTATATATTGTTTTCTTTGTTTTCTATTCTATACTTATTCCAGTGTACTCTGTAACGTGTTTTCCATGTGTTTGAATACAAATACTAATCATTAAATACTTTCTTGTTTAACACGATCGAAAATATAAAGCAAAAAAAAAATTAAAAATAATAATAAAGACCTACAATTGTGGGTTAATGATTATTGGGATTCTAGTCCTTCTAGTTCAGTGTCATCCTCTATTGTGATAAAGCAATACAATTATTATTAATGATAATATAAATAATAATAATAACCAGTGGCTTGAGAGTTATATTGATCTAACAATATTGAATATCACATGATGTTTGATTTATCCATCTCTCTTTTTTTCTTTTTTTTTCTGTCTCTCTTTCTCCCTCTTATATACCAAACATAAGAATATGATCGATATACCCTCTTCTTATATCGTGTCTTCAAAGCTATCACCTCTTGAACCTCAAGGTAAAAAGACGAAGAAGAAGAAGAAGAAGGAAAAAAAAATTAATTAATTAATTAATTAATTAAAATAAATAATATTTATATTTCTGCATATTTGTATACATGTATATATATATATATGTGTGTGTGTGTGTTTACAAAAATAATAAATAGGTTTTTGTCTTATTGACACATATAATATATAATATAATTTTTAACTTTAAAAATACCCAACTACCCAACTACCTAACTACCTAACTACCTAACTAAATAATAATAATATATATATATATATATATATATATATATAAATATAAAATATACTTTCCATTTGGTGTAGATGTCTTGAGAGTATTGAGGCTTGTGCAGTCAGAGTGGAATGATGAGTGTGTAAAGGATCGGATGAATCGGCATCCGACACCATTGATAGCAGTTGGGATTGCGAATCCACACGATCTCCAACGGGTGGTGCGAGTTGGTGTTCCGGTCATTCACCTTGACCGGGAGTGCAGGGCTTTAAAGGCAGCCCAGGCACGGTATCTCCGAGAACTCAAATATGGACAGATTCTTGCATCGGTTGGATCGGCTGTCTTGTCGGGAGTCCTGGTGGCCAGAGGACTAAAGCAGATGAACGGCCGTAGTCTGAGGGCCCTGCTGTCCAAGAAGAGCTGGTTCTGGATGTACTTTGGTGGGGCTGGCTTGATCTGGATAGGCCAGGTGAGCCTGATGCGTGCTCTAAAGGAAAGCTATGGCTTGGTAACCCTACAAGACGAGTGCTTCATGGTCCGTCGTGATCTGGTGGTTAACAAATGGCGGTCTGTGCTGCAGCGATGGTTGCCTTATTGCCTGTTGGTCGGTTCTGTGTTCCGTTGGACTCGCGTTTATTCAAAGAAGGGGGTAGTTTACTAAAAAGCATATAATTTTTTTTATTTCTTTTTTGTTTTTGTATTCCCTTTCTCTAATAGACATTAGCTACTATTATATTATACTCTGATTGGTAATACCCACAGACAATCTATATATATTTTATATATATATTTTATGTAAGCATTAATGATAATAATAATAGTAATAACTACTATGAGCTGAAAAGCGGAGGAAGAACAGGAACAGGAAATAGAGAAAGAAATAAAATATATATATAAAAAAAAAAGGTTGAATTTTACATGAAAATAATAATAATAATAATAATAATAATAATAATAGTGAAAAGAGGAGGAGGGGGGGGGGTCAGTGCGGTACAAATAATAATAAAAAAACCAATAGAAATTTAAGCTAGGAAAAGAAAGCGTCAAGTGTGACAGAAAAAGGAAGGTGGAGTATTGTATTATATTGTATATATTTATATATTTATATATTTTAAACATGTATATAAATAAATAAATAACTAACTAAAATAAAAATAATCCCATTTACATAAATGGAAATACAGCGATAGACCAAAAAAAAAAAAAACAATTTTTTTTTATTTTATTTTTATATATTTATATCCCCTTGTTGAAATTTTTACTATTACAATTATTTCTTTTCTTTTCTCTTCTTTTATTTTTTTTATCTTATTTTATATAATATATATATATATATATATATATATATATATATCAAAATAACATCAACCAACCAACCAACCAACCAATCAATCAATCAATCGATACAATACAGTACAATACAATACAATACAATATAACAATATAATACAATCTAGTCCAATCAGATCGATGGCTTTGAAGAGAAGATCTCCTTCTTTAGACGTCCTGTCCACAAATATGCCTTCTTGCTTGATCGAATCACCCCAGAAGCCTATTCAAGGCCAATCTCTTTATCACACTTGTCTCTCTGTCCTTGACAGATTGGCTCTCGTCAATGGATTCCAGCAATTCCTCGATTCACCAGTCCAGAAGACTCAGTTATTAAATACCGATCCTGTCACAAAACTGTGGAACCTATGTCAGCTCGGAACTCCTCTCTACACCCTATTCAATGCACTCGACCCAAAAGAACCCCTCACTCTCGAATACAACCACAACCTCAACCAGGCAAACAACGCAAAGGCAATAGTCTACCATTTTCTGGTCAGCTGTCGAAAAGAACTCGACTTTGCTGAAGAAGATCTCTTTGGAATCACTGACATCTTTCTCGATGACACCAATGGATTCGTAAAAGTAATAAAAAACACATTTCATTCTCTGTCAATCAACCTACTAATTTTATTTTATTTTATATCTAAAGGTTGTCAATACGATCACAAAGATACTACAGATCTTACAAGACCGTGGCGTCATCAGTGCCAAGTCTCCCAATCGCAACTCTGATCCAAATGCTCCAAAGGATACTCGCGATAAAATTGTACTTGAATTGCTAGAAACCGAACGAAAATATGTCCAAGACATGGAACTTCTTCAAGCAAGTACAAAAGAACACAAAATATATATTCCATACAACATACTAACCAAATTTTTTTATGTTTTTATACAGAGCTATATGCGTGAATTACAGATCCAAAAGATCTTGTCCCCAGACACGGTCCACTATCTGTTCGCCAATCTAAACGCCCTAGTCGATTTCCAGCGTCGGTTCTTGATCCAGCTCGAAGACATTGCCGAAAAACCAGCCCAAGACCAACAACTCGGCCTTTTGTTTGTCCAGACCGAAGACGCCTTTATTGTCTACGAGCCCTATTGCTCAAACTACTATGCTGCCCAGGACCTCGTCAAGGAGAAGGCGGCCGAGCTGCAAAAACTCGACCACGTCCTCAGCCCAACCCACCAGCTGCTCTCCATGCTCATCAAGCCAATCCAGCGCATCTGCAAGTACCCCCTGCTCATGTCGTCCCTACTCAAGAGCACAAACCCATCCTGGCAATCCTACCCTCAGCTCATCCAGGGCTCAGAGGCCATCAGACGAGTAGCCGAAAAGGTTAACGAGACCCAGCGCAAACAAGAAAATCTACAACTAGTCCAAGATCTCAAGAAAAGAATGGACGACTGGAAGGTAAATAACAAAAGAAAAGAAAACTTGTAGGCTTTTTATTTATCTATTTTACATGATTTTCTTTATAGGGTCCTCCTATTGATTCTCATGGTGCACTCTTGCTACAAGAAAAACTAATGGTAACCGTCAATGACCTCGACCGCGAACATCTCATTCTCCTGTTTGAAAAAGCAATCCTGATCTGCAAGGAGCTCAAGGAGGGTTCCAAGAACAGATTGACCAAGACAAACACTATTATGAAGAAAAAGCGCAGAGCCAGCATCCAAGCCAAGGGCACAATCTCCGTTAACCGGATTACACACATTCTGAACAAGTCCACAGCCAGCGGTGGTAAGTACTAGTTTTTTTTTTTTTTTAAAAAGATAAATAAATGCATATATTTACATATCTTTATAATGATAATTTGTAGGTATCTGGGAATTGGTTATCGAATGGAAAAGTAGTTCGTCAAGTAATAGTAATAGTGTCCAACAATTCACCCTAAAGTTCCGTAATGAAGAACAACTGAAACAGTGGGAGGCTGTGATTGATAAGACTCGCATGAACATCCAATCAACCTCGAGCTCCACACCCCTACTTCCAACCCCATCCCAGTCCACAAGCGACAAGACCTCTTTTATCGACTCACTCGATGACGACGATGATGACGAAGTAGAGCTTGAGGCTGAGACGGATGGTAGAGATGACGAAGAGTGTGGGACTGCTGGCACCAGTCGGTTGAATAGCACAGGCACAATTACCAAATCTCGATCTCGATCCAATTCATTGTCGGCTCAGCTACTCAACAGCCTCAGCCGACCAACAAAAATCTCTCTTATGCGTGAAAACAGCAGCGACACCAAAACTCGCACTTTCCACAGTATTCCTGGAATGAACCTTATGCCCTTGCCACGCGGCCCTATGCTTTCAAACCAACATTCGACCAACAATATTCTTGGCGACCCTAGCCAGCATAACAATGTCATTCTCTATCCTGTTTCGCCACCACCTTCCAATCCTTCGTCTCCGACCAGTCTTACGAGTGCAAATGCAAATGCAAATGCAAATGCTAATGCAAATGCTAATTCTAATTCTAATTCTAATTCTAGTCAAAGCACTAGTAGTAGTGGTGGTGGTGTCTCAATTGGACGTAGACGACAATTATCAGCGTCATCGTCCTCATCAGTGTCTGGTGCTAGAGACAACGATGAATATGAATATGAATATGAATACAGAGTTGAGGATGATGAAAAAGACAGTGCTCAGTTGAATATCGCAACAAATTTTGTATATGGTTTGGATGGTATTATGATGAACAGCTACAACCAACAGTTTTCGTTGCCACCACCGATCAACCGAAGCCAGTCTCACTCGACTGCACTCCCGAGCTCTAACACGAACTATAATCCTCATCAACCATCACTTCCCCACCACTCGTCTCAGCACACCCGCCTTCGTTCTCAGAGTAGTCCCAATATCCACAAGGCAGCCGTAGCATTGGTCAATAGTATCACGAGTACCAGTAGTACATTTTCTTCTTCTTCGACATCGACTATTACAGCAGGATCGTCTGTAGCAGCTACACAATGGGAAGAGATCAGCCGTCAGCCTGGATTTGGACTTATTACAACCTCGCTGCCTTGTTACAATGCAGGTGGCCAGAGTGGTGCACTTCCGTCGCCTTCGGAATCGACCAAGAGTACCAAGAAGTTTATCCGACCAATTGCTTCATCGTCTTCTCGGCTATCCGAACTTGCCAACATTCCACTGTCCTTGCTATTATCCTCTACCTCTACTTCTACATCAACATCCACATCGAGTGCTTCTTCTGGGTCTTCATATTTTCCACCATCGTTGTTATCACCTGTGACTTTGACTGGTTCACAAGATACATTAAAAGTCAAATTGACTTATAATGAGGGAGTGTATTGTATCGTGACGCCTCATCAGATCAAGTTTTCTGATTTGATGGAACGGGTTGAAAAGAAGATCAAGATCGTTGCAAATCTGAAGCCAAATGCGGTCTTACGACTCAAATACCGGGATGAAGACGGAGACCATATTACCATCAGTTCGGATGACGATGTTCAGATGGCATTCGAAAGCCGTGGACAGAACACAGTCAACCTCTTTGTCACCCTCTAACCAAAAAAAAAATATTTGCTATTCCTTTCATTTCAATTTCAATTCTACTGCAATCCAAACCATTCATTTCCTTTATATATATACATATATATATATTTCCCTTTCCTTTCATTTCATATCATTTCATATCATTTCATATCATTTCATACCATTTCATACCATTTCATTTCATTTCATTATTTTATATATATTTATGCTTGTTTATTAATGTCCTACCCCCTTTTATACATATAATATACATCTTTTTATGGCTCACAGTGGGGAAACTGGTTCTTGATCTTTTATCCTCTAAAGATAATCGAGATTGAACAAAGAGCCATAAATATGTTGTATATATTATATATACAACATATTTATTAATTAATTTATTTATTTTTTTGCCCTTTCCACTCATTAAACATTAATTTCTTTATTTAACCTCTTACTCACACAAAATATGTATAAATATTTAATATTATATGTGTTCTGTTTATTTATTTGTTTCAATTATGACTCTTTTTTTATTATTTTTATTATTATAAAGAAAAGAAAAAAAAAAGAGTAAAAAGAATATATATATATATATATATTATATGTATATACAACCCCCTCCCCTCCTTGACATCTTCTCCTTTTTCACCCCTTCCTTCCTTCCTTCCTTTCTTGTATATATTTTATCATTTTATATATATTATATAAAATAACATGTACATACAAAAAAAAAATTATTTATTTGTTTTTCTTCATTCCATTCCACTCCCTTCATTCTATTCATTCCATTCATTTTATAACAAATATATATATATATATATCATCTGTCTACCTTGATGTATTTATTGATCAATTTATTGATGCTTTTATTAAATGTGGTGTGCCAAGACCTTAAAAGACAACAACTATACCAGGACTAAAGAAAAGAATAAACCTGTTTCTGGATTAGTGAGAGCAACAGGCGCTTGTCAAACTGACAGTATATCTATCTATCTGTATTACCCCTTGAATGAATATGAGTATCTTTGTTATTTTAGTCCTTTTTTTTATTTTATTTTTTATTCTGCCCTTCTTAAGATTTAGTAGTAAACTTAAGAAGGGTAGAAGGCCGTTGGTAATAAACAGGTTGTGAAGCCATTGACGACATTAAGCATACACAAGCAGATGTGTGTACCATTCTTTCTACTATATCTATCGCTGCATGTTTAAGAGTGGCCTAGACCCTCTTCATTATCTTTCTTTTGAAATCAAAGCCTTTAATAGATACATACTCGTACTAATAACACTAATAATATTATCTATAACGTGTGTTGTATTAGTGTGTCATGTCATCGGACACACTCGAGTTACACGATAATTGTTTATAATATGGGGAGGTCAGAAGAGCCAAAAAATGATATATATATATATATCAACTCTCTAAGCCCTGAATAAAAACTATACACTCACAAACACATAAAGATGTATACATAGATTGTTTGGCACCAAGTCTGATTAATAGAGTGAATGAAAAGAAGAAGAAGAAAAAAAGGCTGTAATAATTACAAGCAGTTTTTGATTTGATTTGAATTTATTATTATTTGATCAGTGTGTACGTATTACATTAGGGGCAATTATTAATCAGTTTAAATACACTAAAAATCATAGCCAAAAAGAGAAAGAGAGAGAGAAAAAAAAAAAGGACTTGTCTTTCTGAGCCATTTTATTTATTTATTTATTTATTTTTATTTATTTAATCTAAATTTAAAGTAAAGGCTTATAATCTCACTCTTGAGCAAAAAAACAACCATTCAATAATACACACATCTACAAGCAGATATACAAGAAACAGTACTAGTTGAATATTAATATCTTACTATCATTTCTGGAATACCCTACAAAAGAAAGAAAAAAAAACAAAAAAAAAGACAAAAAGTAAAAGAATCATGCCGCCCATCTACTGGGATACCTTCTTTGCTTCATCAATGCACATGGCTCATTCACAACCAAAGTCTCGGAGACCAAAAAGAACACGATCATGCGATGAGATGGATGGCCAAATAAACCAGAGCAAAAGATCCAGAACAAACAATACCACCAACAATGGCAGTAATAACAACAGGTATCTCATTTTTCCTATTAGGCTATTTTGCTTACCAAAGCTCTCTCTCTCTCTCTTTTTATTTTTTATATATTTTTATTATTATTATCACTACTATTATTTCCATCCTTTCTTTATCTTTATCTTTTATACAAATATATATATATATATATATATATATGTATATATGTATATGTATATTTGTGTCTAGTATATATTTACAAGAGCCAGAAGAACGACATTTTACTGAAGCACAACGGACAGAAAATTATAGACAACCACCATTGATATTAGAACAGCAACACCAAGAAGGAGAAGATGACGATGCACAGCGGCACTCACAGTTACAGTTACAGCTACAGCTACACTTACAGCAGCAACAAGAAGCACAGCAGCACTTACAGTCGCAGTTACAGGAACAGGAACAGGAACAGGAACAGGAACACGAACAGGAACAGGAACGCCAAATTCATAATCACCAACACTACCATCATTCACAATCAACAAACAATCAAGGTCGATTAACTCAACAACAACAACAACAACAACATGCTCTACATCACCGAATACAGCAATTGCAACAAGAACAAAGCCAAAACTATCTTCAATCTACTTCTAGCTCCTTTCAACCACCCATACTAAAATCATTTGTCATCTCCACACGACATACTCCTCCAAACACCGCATACCGTGAGATGAATGAATTATTGCACACAACGCATGTACTGCGCCATGGAGATGAGACACGCGAACGTTGTTGGGTTGACAAGATGGATGATGAGATGAGTGATGTAGAATCATCTTATGAGGATATCAATAGTGTTCTTCGTCAAGCGTTCTTACAGCGTCATCATTAAATGAAGAAATGAAGAAATGAAAAATGAAAAATGAAAAACCAAAGAGTCTGTCTTTTTTTTTTAAGAAAAAGAATTGTATTAATGATGATTAACAAGAGATACAGAGAGTGAGAAGGAAGAAAGAAAGGAAAGATAAAGAGGATGTATAATATGGTGATTGTTTGTGTTTAAATAGAATAGCTTTGGTTGTCCTTCCTTTTTTGTTTTTTTTTTGGCTTTTATAGGGTTAATTGAAATGGTTCTTCTTGAATATCTCTTTGGCATTTAAAGAAGAATATACACATATACGAGTATTAGGGTGCATATTCTTGAACTCACTTTAATATATAAATGTTCTAGTAAACCTTGTTGACAGAATTAATCTATAATATTCTAGTCTATTAAAGTCTAGTCTAATCTAGTCTATTTTGGTCTAGTCTAGTATATATTGTCTTCTGTCAGTTAAAGACATCCATATTTTCACGTCAAAATGTACAGATCTATATCTCCCTATAGAAAAAAAAAATGGGCGATTTTAGTGAATTGTTGCAAGTTTTCCGGGGTTTAAAGTGTCTTGTAGCTGAGTTTTAATGAAGCACCAATTTCTACTCTACCGTTTTTTTGCAGCCAAAGCAAAACATCTTTTTCTTAGCTTTTTCAACCCATTACAAAACTAAATACAAAGTTATTCAAATCTAATGGCTTACCAGCGGTAGCTTGGGTGGGTTCTAAGCGGTTACCAGGACAAAAATTTCTATCTTCTTTGAATTCTAGTCAGTCTTAGTCTCAAACGACGACCCTCCTGGAGATCTTCTTCTGCTTGTCTTCTGATACGTCCAATCCGAATGACGCGGGTGAACCTTACAGGTATAGTCCCATCATATCTTAAAATGTTAAGTATATGTCGGAAGTTCAGGACAGAAGCAAGAACCCGATTCCACAAACGATGCATAACCTCTGCCCCGTCCATGTTCTCCAAACAATTTAGATTGGTACATCTAAAAAGGACTTGTTTCTGTTTTTTTTTCACAAGGGCTAGAATTATTAAATGTCTTTAAAAGAATCATACTTAATAGCTATCAAGGCTAGTATTAATAAAATACGAATCAGCAAAGTTGACAAAAGAAAGTAACTTGAGAAGAATCGACAGAAAAATATCTGCATCAAGTACAATTTGGCTGTCAAGATTGCTCGCATGCTCATTAGAAATCTCGGTAGCTTTAGAGAATTGCAGGGAATCTGTCTTCTGGTTTTTCAAAAGTAGGAATCAGACATGACAATGTCAACACAAAGCAGGTTTATACTCTTTGATAAAAAGAATTAATTAAGCAATATACATACCTTCATCAATATCATAGGACTTAGAGAATAGCCTTTTTTTTTTAGATAAAAAATGTAAAAAGTATTACATAGAAATAGATATATGTATATTATTTAGTAACTTTGTAGCTTAAGCTGCTACTAAATATCATAAAAAAGAGTACTTCTTCTTTCCATACTTCTTTATATTCAACTTGTATTATTTTGATCAACAAAAACTATAAAATTCCAATGTAAAACCGTGTATTTGTTGAACCAATTATAAGAATAGAGATATCTAAAAAAAATGGTATAGACTTGCAATATTTAGAATATTTGATTGGATTATATGCAAAAATAATCTGAGATCCAACGAATTGTATTATCCAAATTTGCTATAAAAAGAGAAATATGTACCTAAAAATAGTATAATTCTGCTATTTTAAAAGATTTTATTGGATTAGATAAAAAGACGTTTAAACTCAAATAAATAATATTCGCTGTAAATACTTTTAATTTACTAAAATCTAATATTCTATTGGAAGATATTGCAGCTCCGCTACCGTAGTTGTAATTTCTGCCATTTACTACAATGATTTGGTGTGGACAGACTAAAAGTTCAAAAAAAAAGGGGGAAAAAAGAGCAAAATTAGTTAAAACTTTCGCCCAATGATATGACTTAAATTTTTGCTCTTTTTCTGCCCTTCTTTTGAGCTTTTAGTCTGTCCACACCAATTGTTGACAACTGATGACCCCTTAATACTTATTATAAGGAATTGAATTGAATACCCTCTAAAAAAAAATAAAAAAAATTAAAATTAAAATTAAAATTAAAAAATTAAAAAATTAAAAAATTAAAAAATTAAAAAATTAAAAAATTAAAGCCTAAATTGAATAAAATAAAATGAGAAATCGGTAATGTTATAAATGCGGAATAAATGAAAAAAAAAAAAAACAAAAAGAAAAGAAAATTAGCATATGAATGCATAGGATGCTATGGACTGTGCATATGATTTTATTCTCTTATCGTTACATATTTCCCACCTTCTCTTTATGACTCTTCTTTCTGTTTTTTTTCTGGCTCTCTCCAGCCTTCTTCAGCTGTCTCTAGCTCTTTAATTCCTCTTTTAGGATAAACCAAACCAAACCAAATGAAATGAAATGAAATCAAGTCAAATATACGTATATGTGTATATCTATGTATGTACCAAGGAACAAAGCACCGTTTTCATTTATACTATTTCTTCACCCCTTAGCTTTATTTATTTACTTTTGACTTCTTAAAGTCGCACACGCACACGCAAGTACACACGCAAGTACACTGTACTTTATCACCCTAAAAAAAACCAGAATACTATAAACTCTAAACAACCAAAATAAATAAATAAATAAATAAATAAAAATAAACCATTACCCAAAGCCCCAAGTCTTTTTGGTTTCTTCTCTTCTTTCTTGCTCTTCTATTTCTTTCTCTTTCTCTCTCTCTCTCAATTTTCCTATATATTCTTTTACAGTCAAAAAGAATACCAAAAAACAACAACAACAACAACAACAACAAGAAAATAAAAGCTATAAAATAATATAAAATAAAATATGACTGCTAGTGATATTCTTGAGTATTCTTCAGCTGATGCTATTGAAGACAGTGTTAGTCATGTCCGTCAAGTATTCAACACAGGTCAGTTTCTGTCTAGTTTGTCATTAGCAACCTAAAAGATGAACTCATGAGCAAATGGGCCCTCTTTTTTTTTTCTTTCTTTTCTTTAATTAATAAATAAATTAAAATAGGCAAGACTCGTAATATTGCCTTTAGAAAGGCTCAATTGAAGCGTCTCTACAGTTTGGTCAAAGAAAATGAGTCACGGTTTTGTGAAGCCCTCTTCAAGGATCTCAACAAGCCCTACACTGAAGCATTCATTTCTGATATTGGACCAACTCTTGACGAGTGCACCTACTTTCTGAATGTAAATTATCTTTCTTTATTTCTTTAATATTTTATTTTATTAACCACCTTTTTATATATATGGTAGAATATCGATCGATTAGTGAAAGATGAGGAGGTCAAGCCACGTATGCTGACCAACTTTACCGGAAAGAATATTATTCGCAGAGATCCCTTGGGCATGGTATTGGTTATTGGTAAGAATCCTTTCTTTATCTACACGATTGTTTTGCATTGAGATGTGCTTTTTTCAATTATGGATTTGATATGTAAGGTCCAATAAATTTATCTTTTCTTCATCTCTTAATCGTGTGCATATATTAGGTTGCTGGAACTATCCTGTACAGGTAACAAATTAGAAAAGAAAGAGAGAAGAGAGATGTATACATAAAAAAAAAACATTTGAGTGTGGGTGTGGGCGTGGGCGTGAGTGTGGGCGTGAGTGTGGGCGTATGGATCAATTATTGATTTTCCGGTGATGCCTTTCTCTTGTATTTAATTGCACCAAACACACACAGCTCGCCTTGGTTCCTCTTGGTAAGGAGAATATTTTCAAATAAAAAAATAACGAGAGTATTTGCTAATTCAAGTACAATTATACGTATATGTAAAAAAAATACATATCCACTCGTTGAATAATTATAATTATTAAACTATGTGAATTTCATTGTTGTTTATAGCTGGTGCAATTGCTGCTGGTAACACTGTTGTTGTAAAGGTAATATTTAAAAAAAATCATAAGAAATTGTTGTTTATATACATGTATACTAATATCCTTTGTTTTTTGTTTTTTTTGTTGGGTTTCTGCAATAGCCATCGGAAATCTCTATGCATACTTCTGCATTGATTACCGAGCTATTTACAAAGTACATGGACACTAGTTGCTATCGTATTGTAAACGGTGGTGCGGAAGAAACGACTGCTCTCCTTAAAAATGAGTTCAATCACATCATGTACACTGGAAATAGTACAGTTGGCAAGATTATTATGACAGCAGCAGCTCAATTCTTGACGCCAGTCACCCTTGAATTAGGAGGGAAATCGTAAGTAGTTGAAAGGAGAGAAAAGGAACACCAACAAAAAAGAAGAAGAGTAAAACTTAAAATTAAGTTGAAAATCAAGAAATCAAAAAATCAAGATTAAGCATATCTATCGGTTTAACTGTCTGTCTATTATTCTGACAGAACCAAATCCATATATCCATATATATATTCTAATCAAGCATTATTTATAAAATCACATTCATAGGCCAGCAATTGTTACTCCTGATTCGGATCTTTCTATCGTTGCCAAGCGGATCTGTTTTGGAAAATTCTACAACTGTGGACAGGTAAAGATAATACATATATAGTCATTGCAATTGATAGTCAAATCAGACATAGAAAGATAGATAAACAGATAGATAAGACATACAAACAGAGAAAGAGGTAGACAGACATATAGAGAGAAGGAAGAGATAAGATAAAAAATTTCTTTTTTTATTTAATTCTCTTTTTTATCGAGACATTTATTTCTATATATAGAAGGTGATAAGTAAAAAAAAAAAGGGGGGGGGGGTGAAGGATTGCGACACAAATACAAATACAAATACAAATGTACAAGTCTTTGTTTTTGACAACCCCTTTATCTTTATCCTTTATCTTTCCAAACAATAATCAAAATAATCTCGTTTTAAATAGTATTTCTTTATTTATTTGCTTATCTTTGACAATCTAAACAAGCCTAACTTTCTTTAATTATTCAACTATTATTATTATTATTATTTTTTGCCTCTCTCTGTGTGTGTGTGTGCCTCTCTGCCTTTATTTTTATTTTAATCTATATACAATTTTATTTCTGGCTATCTGATACATATAGATATATAAAATAACTAATAATTGCCGATTGTAGACATGTGTCGGCGTTGACTACGTGTTCGTACCTCAAACACATGCAGACACATTAATCAATCACATTCGTGAAACCATCACAGAGTGGTTCGGAGAAAATCCCCAGCAATCCAAGGACTATAGTCGGATTATGAACACTCGTCACTACGACAGACTTGCCGGTATGCTCGACAAACCCCACACCGGAACACTGGTCATTGGCGGTGAGCGAGACCGAGAGACAAGATATATTGCACCCACTGTGATCACCAATGTCAAGTTTACTGATCAGGTCCTGATGACTGACGAGATATTTGGACCCATATTACCCATCATTTATTACAACACCATTGATGAGGCCATTAGTCTCATTAACAAAAAGTAAGTTTTCTTTCTTTATTTATTTCCTTAACTAATAATAATATTTGTTTGGGATTTCATTATCAAATATTTTATTTTGCTCATATATTATCCAAATCATAATATTAATATTAATATTAATCATAACTATGATAAACAATTACATATACAAAAACCAATTTAGACCTTCTCCATTGGCACTCTACATGTTCACAAACGATCCTAAACTAACAAAGAGAGGTAAGAAGACGGTTGTCAAGGAGACAAGAAATGAAATGAAATGAAATGAAAAGAAGAAAGAAGAAAAAGAAGAAGAAATGATTGATTGATTTGAATCCTCGAGGCATCTGACGTAGTAGTACCTTTTTTCTATATATATTTATTATAGTGTTGGAGAATACCCAATCTGGAGGTGTTTGTGTCAATGATTGCCTTGTGCATCAATCAGGTAAAGGATCAGATAAAGAATAAGAATAATTCCTATAATATAAAAATATCCTTATTAAGCTCCCCTTCTATTTAATGATGATATCTGTCTGTTCATCAAACACACACACAACTCATCATACCCGATTACTCCCTTTCTCCCTTCTTCCCTTCCTCCTTTCTCGTACTCACCCCCCTTCTTTTTCTATTTCTTTTTTTAAACATTTTTTGCCTTTTATAGACTACGCGTTGCCCTTTGGTGGTGTAGGCAGCTCAGGCATGGGTAATTACCATGGCGACCATTCCTTCCAGACTTTTACCCATGCACGATCCATCATGATCAAGAAGCAGGCCATGGAGTCTCTTATGCGTGTCAGATATCCACCTTACAACGACAGAAACAATTCTATCCTGCGTTTTGTTGTTTCTGGTCATCCTGCCATCAACTGGATAAAGACCTTTAAAGGTTCATTGAAGGTCTTGACTGTCCTTATTGTCATTTTGGCTGTTTATCTTAAAAGACTTGGCTAACTATTGTTATTATCCATTATTAAGCTTTTCTCTCTCTCTCATTTTCAATAATATTGATATCGATATTGATAACTATAATTATAATAACAATAATAATAATAATAAAAATAAAAATAAAATAAAATAAAAAAATGATACTTGAGCAAATACACACACACATCATATAACCTATAGATAGATAATAGAAGGGCACCTACTAAGTCTTTCCTATTCATCTTCATGTTCCTTTCTGTTACGTATTTGATTATTTGTTTATTTGGTTGTTTGGTTGTTTGGTTGTTTGTGTTTCTTGCTCGTCACATACTAATAATAATCATATAGACTTTCCCGTATATACTCTGCTTTTTAGGGTTTCTTTAGCTTCTTACATGACCCAGTTTCTATTTGTATTTATATATACAAAAAATATGTGTATGCTATAGAAATCGCAATCACAATCGCAATCATAATCATAATCATAATCACACACCTATATTAACTAGCTATGAATAAACTCTTCATTGTGACTTATTTTAAGAACATTCTCACGCCTCCTCATTGGAGCGGATTTCTCCATTAATACCATTTCCTTTTTTATTGGTTTTCTTATACGCACACATGTGTGCCAGTGTATTGGTGTTTCTGTGTGTTTGAAATGTCACTTAATTTTTTTATATATTATATATTATCTAAATGTCTATATACATACATTTTCATATACATATAATTTTAGTATAAATATCTAGACATGTCGCTTATCATCCAATTCCTCACGTCCCTTAATTCTCCTTTTTTATCTTTTCTTCCTCTTTGTCAGTCAATAAAACACCAGCAACATATCCAAAACTAAAGAACTAAATAAAAACAAACATGTCTGATAACAAGTTCCTGAGTACCAAGACCGTGTCTATTGTTGGTGTACCTTTCAGTGGTGGTCAGCCCCGTGGTGGTGTTGAAGAAGGTCCTCTTCGTCTGGTCGAGTTTGGTCTGTTGAACCAGATCCAGGAAATGGGTTGGAAGGTCGATTACGAAGGCAACAACAACATCTCCTCTCTCCGTCCCAACCAAGATCCCGATGTCCTTAATCTCAAGCAGCCAAAGTATGTCTCGAATGTCACACACGCTGTCGCCAAGCAGATTGAAGAACGGGCCCGTCAGAACAAGTTTGTCCTGACCTTGGGCGGTGACCACTCGGTTGCACTAGCTACTGTTACTGGAGTGTTTTCGGTTTATCCCAACGCCTGTCTTATCTGGGTCGATGCTCATGCAGTAAGTTTCTTTTCTTTTTATGGTTTATAAATACCTGAAATTTAGTAATAGCCTTAGTACCAGTATCAGTGAGCGACAGACTCTACATATATGTATATATATATGTATAAAAGTCTGTCTGTCTATTTCAATATTTCATTATTTCATTATTTTATGATTTTAATTTGTTTTTGTTCTATAAGGATATCAATACTCCAGCTACCACAGATTCGGGTAATATTCATGGCTGCCCTGTCAGTTTCTTGACCGGAATTGCTGGTAGTCACCCTGATTTTGCATGGGTCAAGCCTTTGCTCAAGACCAACCGGCTAGTATACATCGGTCTTCGGGACGTAGATGCAGCTGAAAAGAAGATCCTCAGGGACTATAAAATCAAGGCATTTTCTATGCACCATGTTGACCGCTATGGTATTGGCAACATTGTTGAAATGGCCCTGGATCATGTCAACCCCAAAAGAGATCTTCCTATTCACTTGACTTTTGATGTCGATGCCCTGGATCCCTCTGTTGCACCTAGCACAGTAAGTATATATAAATATGCACACACACATAGAATATATATATATATTACTTCAAAATAAAGTATATTTTAGCTCATGTGTGTACACAAGATGTCTATAATCAACTGACTTGACTGACTTGCCCGACTTGACTAATTGACAATTTTATTGTTTTATTTTTAAAATTTTTAATTTTTATTTCCCAGGGTACACCTGTACGTGGTGGACTTACTTTCCGAGAAGGACATTATATTTGCGAGGCTTTGGCAGAGACAGGATTGTTGGTGGCCGCAGACATTATGGAAGTTAATCCGGCATTGGAAAGTGAAATGGAAGTTTTCCAAACTATTCAAGTCGGCTGTTCTCTTGCACGCTGTTGCCTAGGTGAATCCCTCTTGTAAAGACACATATTTATATTTGTTTTATTACTATTCATATAACTATTACTATCATTACAATTCCTGTTATTCTTATTCTCTTATGATCAGGTTTCTTTTCACTCCTTTTCTCAATTGTCTTTCTTTCTTTCTTTTCTTTTTATGTAAATAATTCCCAACAAACAACCATATATATATATATATATATATCTATTAAAGAAGAAACTATAAAATATATTTCAATATTGAAACAAAATAAGAATATAATATATATAAATATATATTTAGTGTGTGTGTGTGTGTTTCATGGATTTATTCAATTATCAAATAATCTCTCAAGCCATCTGTGCTTATATATATATATATATATATATTATAATAAATTAACTCACCCAATACATCTTCATAGAAAGAGGGCTTTTTCTTCTTCTTCCTACCTTCCTTTCTTTCTATCTGTATTATGATAAAATTAGAGTTGATTAATTGAAATGTACCTCGTCTAGACTCATTTAATATTTAATGCGCTCAATAATTCCAAAATAATAATAATAATAATAATAATAATAATTTCAATTATGAGAGCAAAAATTAGACCAAAATAAAAAAAAGAATATAAGATGATAGTTACAAAGGTCTTTTATTACTATTATTATTTTCAATAAAAAAATGCTAATAACAATAATATTTCTAAATCTATTTGACCTTGAAGCCCAGTTCAGTACAACTTGGCAATACTGGACAGAGTCTGTCATTTATACAGTCAGTGAGCAGGTTGTTTAGCTTATGTATTGTACATATGAGAGAGCGAATACTTTTACAAATGAATCTCCCTCATCGCACATATAAACACCCTCATCCACACCCACACCAAACGTAAAAAATAAAAAATAAAAAATTCCGCGGCACTTTGGATCACATTCTTATTAAGGAAATCTAGTTACGCATATATTCCCGCCCTGACCCAATAATTTCAAAAGTCAAGTCAAATTAAGAAATCAAATCCAGTCAAGTTAAAATGTACAAGAAATAAGCTGATATAAATCAATAAATACAAAAAATTAACAATAATATGATGTCTTATGTTTCTCTCTCTCTCTATTCTTAATTCCCACCAGGCTGTACATAGAGGTGTACTTTGCTATACTCTCCTTGTTTCAAACCCTTGAATTTTTAATGAATTTGTATATATGAGACAAATATTTTATTAAATTGCTCAAAAGAAGAAAAATACCTTAATTCCAAGATAGAAAAGCTAGATGTCTGAAAAGATAATGAGAAACCCATAAAAGTGTGAGAATAAACAAGTAAACTGATAATAACAAAGACAGAAGATATTGTGGTCGAGATAATGAGCTATGTAGAGTTTACTTGAATAATATTAATGTCCAAACTTGTCAAACAAAAGGATATTTAGCATGTAAGTGTTTGGACAACTAACTGCAGTAGCCACTACGAGAGTAGCCAAGAAATGCAACAAAGTTAACATTATACATATAAAAGATAAAAGCCGAGCAAAGAGAATTATGTTCTAAATAATATCACATGCGGTAGATAACGGGGAACAAGGATAAGGACTAAAAAGACTTATATTAAAAAGATTGAATATATTATATATAACAGTTCACTTATAAATCAGAAGATGAAAATGAGTCAAAGGGCATGTATTGAAAGGCTAAGATGTTTTATAAATGAATCAAAATACACCAAAGTCAGCATAAGATCAAAGACATTGTAGGGGCCATAATAAAAATAAATAAAATGAGAAGGCGGAAGAAGACATAGAATAGCAAAAAAAATTGTCTATGGTACTAATATATATATTAAAAATAAAAGCAGACATTTAGCATAAAAATGCATATATATATATATATATATATTTGTACATATATATTACGGAATTACTAAGAAATTTCAGAACTGGTCATCATATTGTATAATATTAAATGTCTCAGAAATTACTATTAGTTAAGAATCAAATATAAAAATAAGAATTCCATGATAAAGAATAATTATAATAAAGTTTTAATAGCTTATATAAGAGCACCCACAGTGGTATGTGGGAAATAAATGTGTATTTTGAAATGAAAAAACAAATTTAATATATAAATTTCAATTCAACCACATCGGTTTTGCCAAACTAAATATTTCATGACTTTTCTAACGTTAGGATTGAAAAATTTCTATCAGCAACATATAAACATTTCAAATATCAATCTTAAATCAAATGTTTCTTTCTTAATATTATCAAAATACAAATAAAATCTTATACACCATGAGTGCTTATCAAAATACAATCAACCTGAACGTAGACTCTGATGTTGAAGAATACGAGCACTTTCTCAACAATCCAGATGTAAATTTTGGATTATTTGATTACTTGTATGATGATAAAGAAGAGGAAGCAAGACGGGCAGCAAGCAACGTATTTTTGTTGAACAATTTGGATGCCATTATGCCTTCAACTCGGACGAGTATAAACAGAGGACGCATTGAAGGCAATGAAAGATTGTATTCCGACTATTTTGCTGCAGATCCTGTCTACAATGAGAAAATCTTTCGAAGAAGGTTTAGAATGAGACATGGTCTTTTCTTCCGGGTCTGTGAAGGAGTAAAGAACCAAGACTCCTATTTTGTCCAGAAAAGAGATGCTTCTGGAGTACTTGGATACTTGACGTTCCAAAAGGTTACTGCTGCACTGCGTATGCTCTGCTACGGAGCATCCGCCAGCTCACTTGACGAATATCTGAGAATGAGCGAGACTGTTGTCTTAAAAAGTATGAAAATCTTTTGCAAGACATTGACAGCTGTATTTGGAGATGAGTACCTTAGAAGGCCTAATCAAGCAGATACGGATCGGCTACTGTCAGTTGGTGCCGAAAGAGGGTTCCTAGGGATGCTAGGATCCATAGACTGCATGCATTGGGTCTGGAAAAACTGCCCAACGGCTTGGCATGGCCAGTACACTGGCCGTAAACATGAGCCAACTTTGATTCTTGAGGCCGTTTCTTCTCAAGACCTCCGGCTGTGGCATTCGTACTTTGGGCTCCATGGCAGCCTTAATGATATTAACGTTCTTGATCAATCTGACGTCTTTCAAGAAATCACTGAAGGGACAGCTTCTGTTGTGCATTACAACATTGGAGGTAAAACATATGACATGGGGTACTATCTCGCCGATGGAATTTACCCAAGCTATGCAACATTGATAAAAACCATATCAAATCCCGTACTAGCAAAGGAAAAGGTAACATATATTTGTGTATTCTTATATTTATTCTTATCTTTACTAAAATTTGCTACTTCAAATTTTATAATCTAGCTGTTTGCTCAAAAACAAGAGGCCACCAGAAAAGATGTTGAGCGGGCTTTTGGAGCACTGCAGGCTAGATTCAACATTGTAAAGCTTCCTGCAAAGTCGTGGGGAATTACAGACTTAAATATGATAATGAAAGCATGTATCATATTACATAACATGATAGTAGAAGACGAACGTGGCATAGATGGCCTGGACATGGTCTATGAACAAAGCTTGGCAGAAATGTCATTATCAGACAGAGCTAGTAGAAGAGCGACTAGTAAAGACGTTACCAGAGGAAGCTTTTCTGAATTTGTCACAAGATATGGTGAAGTTACAAGCCGAATCAACCATGCCAAGTTAGTAAAAAGCCTTGTGAATAACTTGTGGAGTATGGCAGGAAATAATGAATAAATAAATAGTGTAATAAAGTTTTATGTTAAAAAAGCGCAAAAAAAAACATTTTATTCATCAGAAAAATTATATTCTTCATCACTTTGAAGCTCTTCAACTTCTTCTTCTTCATCATCACTACTCTCATCCTCATCTTCAAAACCCCTTTCTACTTCTTCTGCTCGGCGCAGGGCTTGCTTTTGCTTCAAGAGAACACAGCAGCGTCTTACTGGATCGCTGATAGTGTCTGCATCCATCATGATATACTTCATGTCCAGCATCTCTCTGAAATTTTTGTCCTTTCTGCTACCAGAACGCCGGGCTTTTCTTTGATCATTCACCAGATCAAAATGAGCCTCCTGGACCTTTCTCTTCCCCTGGGATCCGGCCTTGCTTTGTTTGCGACCTATTGGACGGACAACCCCTTGTTGGGAAGACATCTCATTGTTCCCCTGAACATTCCCACCGGACGGAGTGATTGACACAACAATCTGATTTCTGTTTCCTTATCCTCTTGTCGAACCTTCTAAGCGGTTCATCCACTTGGGAGCAAGAGAAAAAATGGAGTAGCAATGATCCAAGTTAAATGTCTTGTCATTGTTTTGGACCTTGAACAGAATTCTTGCTTCAGAAATCTAGTTTTTGTATATATAGAGATTAGACATCAATAATAAATTAACCAAATTTTTAACTAGGATATTACCATATCTAGAACATTGGCCCCACTTTGATTGCATCGCTCAACTTGAGCCACACAACCACAAAACTTTGCTACTTTACTTTGTATATGATTCCAGCAGGATTTCAAAGAACTAGTAGAGCGGAACATACAGCTTGGATCGATGTTTTCAAGATAGTTCAATCCAATTCTTTCCCACATGGTAGTACCTCTTTGATCTTTTCCTGTTATTGGGTCTTGAGAAATAGCCAGCCACGACTTACACAGCTGAATGTCCTCCAAGTAGTTCCAATTGGCATTACAGCCACTGGTAGATGTGGAAACAGGTTCACTCAAAGAGATATTGTCAGTGGAGGATTGGAAAATATTGCTGTTCATTTCAAAGAGTAAAGCTAGGTATAAAGAAAATAATACTCAAAATTCGTATCAAAGTCTACCTTCAATTTATATAAAAATCTGCCTTCAATTTTTATTAAAATATGACTTCAATTTTTATTGCCAAAGGTTTTAGTAAAGTTTGAAACATCCACATTCACTAAACATTTCTCACAAAAATTTTAGTTTTGCACATCGTATAACAAAATCACTGTGGATGAAAAAATCTAAATAATTTGTCAAATTCCCATATTTTTTTAATTCCCACATACCGCTGTGAATACTCTTAGCTTGCCAATACTGCAGCAAAAGACTGCGTTACTACTTTGCCTGGCAACAGTTTAGTGCCCAAGTTCGGATATTGGCTGCCTCCAAGCAAGAGATGTCAAGATCGTACAAGAAGATGGCCAGCCAATGAGACTTTATCTCATGGTGCGACAACCAAAGGCGGCCACTCAGAAAGAATTGACACTTGAGCCAATAGAGGATCAAAGCATTTGTCTCGTACAGACAACATGGCTGTTCTTGCAGAAGACAGCAGATCTCAGGAAGACCCTCCCAGAAGACCACACCCTTTTTCTTGCTCACATTGGTACATCTCAAACAAGAAGCATAAGACCATCCACATTGGAAACGTGAATTAAGAAATTGTTACAAGAAAGTGGGATTGACACGATCATACACAAAGACCACTCAACCAGGTCTGCTGCAGCAACTATAGCAAGGATAAGAGGAGTGTCCATTCAAGACATCAAGCAACAAGTAAACTAGAGTGACAAGAACAAGGTCTTTGAACAATACTACTGACGTCTGGACAGCCCCAGGCATACAAACATTGCTAATACAATTCTCCAGCCTATGGAGAAATAATCTCATTTGAAGGATGGGGTTCCAATGGACAATGGGAATTGTCTGAACTCCTAGGAGTGATGGACAATAAACATTGTTTGAGGGATGACGTCTCAAGAATGAGGTGGTACCCACCCACCATTTCCCTTAAGCAGGCCATCGAATTGTATGGCGCAACTAGGAAGAGATAGAGAAGAGTAGGGTAGAAAAAACTTAAAGAATATAAAAAGAATAAAAAGCGTGACTTAGGAAGCCTAAACCTCATTTGAGGGACTTCGTCTCTTATTTTTTTTTGTATTGTTTATTAAAGAAATATCATAGTCATGTGCTATCTATCTAAAAGAGTGAGTCTTCTAATTCTATTTTTCTAATGTTTAAGGTAGCAATGGCAGCTATTCGGTTAGTGACAAAAGGAACATCATGGAAGATATGTTGGAAGTGAGCGTCCCAAATGGCCCCTATTGTGCATCCCAGAATACTATAGGCGGACACTGTGGTATTCTTGACTTCAACTGACATTGGAGAAGAAGGAAGGAGAAGGTGGTCAAACGTAAGCGATGTGGGATATTCCAGGAACCGGGTTGCAATTTGATGCCAAATTAACTTTTTTATGAGGGCATGCCCAGAATAGATGTTCATTATCTTCCAGTTCGCCACATAAAATGCATTGTGGGTCGTCTACAACCGTAACGTTATGGCTAAATAGCCGCTGCCTACTAGGAACCTTTCCATGCATCAATCTCCACCAGATGGTGTAGATTCTAAGAGGAAGACGTAATTCCAAAAAGCTACACCAGTGTACTAGTGCTGCATGTGGGAATGGGGGTGAGACTTGGGTGAGGGGCGGTCTTATGTGTGCACGGATCACTTGAGCAGAGAGATTGCGTATCTGTGGAACTTTTGGTATCCCAGAGGAAAGGAAGCCTTGAAAGTGGCGAGGTGGAGTCGGAAAGAAGGAGGCCATCACTGAGCCAGGCTCTCGCAATGGAGAAACTGTGAGCAGAGAGAACCACTCCTTCAGTCGGAGTTCACTGTGATCCAAAAGGGTAAACAGCGTGTCTATGTTAGACCTGGCTCGTCTTCGTTCATACTGGTTGAGTCGACATATGCATCCAAGAGTGTAGTCATATAAGAATGCATTACATGCACGTAGTTTACCGCAGGTAAAGAAGAGTGGTAGAGGATGAGATGGGGCCAGAATTGTGCTGAGAGATAGCTCCTGTACAGTGACAGGATTTATGACAGTCCAGTCAAAGGAGAGAGGAATGGTTTTCATAGCATGAAAGATTGTAGGAAAGATACTAAAGGTGTTGAGGCGAGGTGACCGCAGCTCAGGAAACACCAGAGGAAGAAATGAGTTAGTTGTATTGCAATACTGCCTTATAAGGTATGCCAGTATTTTGCCGGCGAAAGATAGTGGGGCGGTCTGATCGAGCAAGGGGAGAATCTATCTGGTTTGCAGTAAGGAATAAGGGGTCTGAGGATCCAGGACGCCAAGGCCACCTTCTCGTCGTGGACGAGTGCATGAGTCATATCTAACAAATGGGTAGCGTCCATGAGATAAAAATTTAATTACTTCTGAACGAAGTCTGCTTATGTCAGCCGTATTCACTGGGAGGATGCGTATTACATGCCATGCCCTACTCAGAAGAAGTGAGTTGGCAACTAGCCCTCTACCAAGAACCAAAAGGTTTTGCTGTGCTAAAAATTGTGCGTGGTTACGGATCTTTGTAATTACGTCTTCAAAAGCACAGAATAGTTGAGCCTTTGAGCTGGTGAGAGGGTAATCAAGATATGTTATTGGCTGCGAGCTATGACTATCATGCCATGAAGTTATTTTGTGGTTCTGCAAATGAGAATTTCAAGTCTGTTGTTTACGACCAGATAAGGAGACTGCGACTGTTTTATGTCTATTCATTCTGGTATTTGACGCATAGCCATATACCTGGAGCTTATCTATCAGGATGTTGAGCTTGTCAGGCGTGTTCAAGAACACTACTACGTCGTCAGCATATGCTAAGAACTTAATAGGTGGTGGCTCGTCTATAGACTGGGACAATAAAGGGAGCCCATTTCAGATGATGAGTCCTTTGAGTTGTTTGGTAGCAAGGATGGTGTGGAGTAGAGGTTTGAGGGCCAGGTTGAAAAGAAGAGGGGAGAGTGGATCCCCTTGTTGCAAACCTCGGCCTTGTTTGATTGGAGCTGACAGATATCCGTTGATATTGACACAAAGTGTTGTGTCAAAGAAGAGGGCTGTGATGGCAAGAATGAAAGTGGAAGGAAACCCAAACCGAAGAAGGCATCAATGCAGGTACTCAGGGTGAACTCGATCGTAAGCCTTTTCTTGGTCAAGTAGTAAGCAGATTCTGGATAGTTTGTATCTTTGAGCCGTATCCATGATTATTCTGGCGACTATTCCATTATCTGCAATGAACCTATTTCCCAAAAACCCTGTTTAGTATGGGTTGATAGTGAGTTTCATCGCGGTTGGAAGGCGTGATGTGATAAGGCGAGTGAAGAGTTTGGTGTCAGCGCATATCAGCGATATAGGCCTCCAGTTGGACAATGAAGTAAGGTCTCTCTTTTTTGGCAGCAGAACAACCACAGACCGTTTCCATGATCGCGGAATTTCTTGACGTTGGAGAGCTAGGTTAAAGACTTTGACCATCAGGCCTTGGGCAAATTTGTGCTGGAATAGCCAACGAAGAAGTTCATATGGTATAACATCTATGCCTGGGCTACTGCGAGTGGGGAAGTGATTAAGGGCTCTCAATATGTTCTTAGCATCCCATTCTGCTGTAATAGTCTCTCCCTCTTCGCTAGGTAGGCAGCTGGAATCTGGAATATTGGCCAACAGTGACTCGACAACATTATCATCGATGGTTTTGGCAGTATACAAATCGGAATAGAAGGTGTGGGCGCATTTAACCAGACCATCTGGGGATTTGGTTAGGCCACCATTTTCTTGCTGTGCTTGGATGTTCTGTGCCTGTCAGCGTTCTTTCAAGCATCGGTAGAAGTAGGCATTTGAGCATTCTCCATGTTTGCGCCACTTATGTCCTGATCGAAGTGCTAGGATGTGGGCATCAACTTCTTGTTGGCAGTCTATCTGACGCTCAACTTCAAGCAGCTGTTGATGGAGGACTGAGGAGGGATCGTCGTCTAGAGAGTTGGGAACGTATTCTTGTTCTTCTGTCAGTGGGGTTGGTGAGGTGTGGGGTTCGTCCTCAATTCTATGACTTTGTGGTTGGCTAGTCCCTAAGTATTCCTGAGCTACCTCTCTGTTGGAGATATGTTGCGTATGCTGTGTGCGTGGACGACTGTGTGGGTTGCTTGGGTGTCTCGATTGTAAGTCTCTTTGAGACTGACTGTGCAGCTGTGTTACTATAGCAGATCGTTGCTCCGGTAGTATCTTCTGCATAGTCTTGGCTTTGTTTCTAGCTTTACGACTATGGTCTATAGCCATGGCTTTCAAATTAGCCTTTATCAGGTCCCATTGGATGTGAGGTGCTACATTAGGAATCTGTGTTTCTGCTACATCAAGGAAGGTAGTCATTGTGTTGCAAAACTCTTTATCAGACAGGAGGTATGGGTTGAACCTCCAGATTCCAGGTCCATGCTGAGGTGACCCAATTGAAAGTTGGATGCTGATACTGAAATGATCCATCCAAGATCCGGCAACATATTCAACCACAGGAGAGTGTACTGATATCTTTAGGTCGTTTGTGACAAAAAGGAAATCGAGGGTTGATCCAGTGGTGAATGTTGGGAGTGGCGTGCAGTTCACAGGAGTGATGGCGTCAAACCAATGGTGGGATAACCATTGGGTCCATGTGGTTGGAAGGGGTGGGGAGGAAGTGAGTCTTGTTTTGTAATTGAGATCTCCGAGTAACACACTTTTTGGAAGTGGTGGAGAACTAAAGGCTAGATAGTGATCTAGAAGAGAGTAGAAGAGAGGGCATTGCTCTGGGTGGGCAGGTGCATAAATGACAAAGAAGTTGAGCGGGTCATGTATTTTATGGGCGTAGTGAATTGTGGCAGTAAGCAGACAGCCGTCTGTTAGGTGTATGGGGTTGAAGGAGTTGAGATGTGGTTCTATATAGTATTCGGAGTTAAAGGAAACTAGACCACAGTGATGTGACCATGTGCTAGATTGAGCTTGAAGGAGTGTAGAGATGGATGATTGCGTATTTTCGGTGTCAGTGTGCGATTCTTGGATGGCAAGGATATCATATTTTTGTTGTCTTATATGGCAGGCGAAATGTCAACCAGAGGTGGTCAGCATCTTTTTTAAGCCTCTGCAGTTAAGCGAGGCAATTCTTAGATGGTTAGACATATTTACTGCCCTGAACCATCAGCGACGACAGTCTTGTGGACAGCTGAAGGATCTGGGAAGAGTCCTTGGGTGGGTTTGTTGTTTCGGTTTCTTTTACCATTAATGATGATAGTGGGGTCAACATCATTTCTCAGTCAGGACTTCCAGCCAGTCGCCTTGGGTGGGTTGGCCATAGCTTCATTAGTCATTATGATGTCTTCATCACCTGCTATTCCTCCTTGTGCTTCTGTAGTCGGTCCGACTGTAATTTCGCTGCTCTCAGTTATACCTTCCAGACTACGTTGTTGTTCTTCAACGAGGGCAATCTTGTCCTCAAGTGCATTTTCACTTTGCACAAGTGCCTCTTGCATCTTCGCATTTTCTCTGACTAGACAGGCCAGTTCTTCTTCAAGCTGGTGGTTGTTACCTCCATTCTCTGGTGAGATAACTTGAGGATCTTCTTGGCATTGACGCTTACGTTCCTTCTCAATTGTTTCATCAGGACATTGTGCCCGAATGTGGCCTGGCTTTTTACAACCATAGCACAGGCGAGGGCTCTTCGTCTTCTTCTCACAGTTTGCTTTCTTATGGCCCTCTCTATGACAATAATTGCATGTCACAGGCATGTTCTGCCACTTGGCATAAATCTCTTGTTCCCCACGAAAGTCAATCTTGTGTGTTAGGGGAATGTATTCAATCCCTTCCTTTGGAGCAGTGTCCAACATGACAAAGTCTTTGCCTCCAAACAATTGAAACTGAGGGTCCATATAAAAACCAATATGAATCACTCGACCAAAAAGGCCCATGACTTCTTGAACTTGAGACTCTAATTTATCTGCCCTGCGGAGAGGTAACTTATCAAGATGTATGCGAAGGATGTTGCTATCCCTGCCAAATGTAGGCGTGGCTAAGAGAGTTTAGTGTCCAATGACAACGCCCTCTGAACAAGCCCTGGGCACATCTTCAATAGTGTCAAATGAAATAATTGCTATATTTCTATCTCTACGGTCTTGACCCAGAGCCCCTACTATGCTAGGGTACTGGGACTTTAGGGCCTGAAAAAACTGGGCAGCGTCTAAGCCACTATCTGTGATGTCAAAAACAACAGCATTGTCTTCATTTGACGAAATCCACATTTGGTTTGCCTTTTGCTAAGCTAATTCTGCTTTTGCAGAAGCATCATCAAAAATGGTTACTGGCTTTCCTCGGGCTATACGAGCCCAATTGCCGAAAATTGGTATGGGTTTGGCAGATTGTGACAATGTCAACAATGAGATGTCAGAGGGGGAGACCGTGTGTAGATGGGTGGGCGAGCCATTAAGGCTAGGCTGAGGTGAAATCCGTGGGTTGTTGATCGTACTATGTATAGGATCAGGTGGGTTTTGTTGTCCATTTGTTGTTATCATTTTTCTTCTTTGGAATCAACCACCAGGACTTCGTCTCTTAAACAATGTTCATTGCACAGCAAGCATATAAATAAAAATAAAATTTATCAAATTTACCATCAATTTTTCTATATATGGATTTATTATCATACTTTTACCACCAATTGTTTTATATATGTATTTACTACTATACTTTTACTACCAATCTGTTTAAAACTAAACCAATCAAACATATCGCTTTACCATTTAGTAAATTAGTGGCAATATCACTATGATTAGTAGCAAGCATAGCTCATTTACGACTAATTTCCTCTGCTTCAGTGTAGTGTTACCAGTTATTAAATTTCACACAAATTAGTAGTATTCCCACACTAATTTCATTTATAGTGACGATTAGTACACTTATAGATGACATGGTGTGTGTTCTTTTGGTTTAGTTTAAACCACGAATATTCTGCAAAGAAGTATGACGCTCTTTGCAAGATTTCCTTCAATTTCCTTGCACAAGGCATACCCGTGTGTATTGTATTTCATCATTGGTGTTGTAAATGAGTATTAACTACTGCTGTAATTGAGAATAATTCTGAAGGAAATAATATAAAGCCTCAGCTATTGCAGTCAAAGATGTCTACCAATTACTGTATTATGTAACACACAGGTTTATCATGTACAATGATCATTATATTTTATTGATAATATCACCATAATATGCGATACATCAATGCATTCTTAGGAGCATAATTATAACTCACAAACATGATTATTTTCTATATAAATATTTCATTGGGACTACACACATTTATATAATTAATTAATATATTAATTATCCCAATATCACGTTGCTCTGATTTAGGCTCAGATAGGACCGATTACCTGACCCCAGGCATATAATTTTTCCAATCCAAAATAATATAAGTAGCAGTAGTAGTTCAGTGTAGGAATCTTATCGAATTTTGATACCAAATCTTTTCTCAATAAACAAGCCCTACACAAGTTCTTATAAATCTTTGTTCCTCATCTCAAATCCTCAATTCTTCTTCTTAAAAACTTCTTCAAACTTCAACTACCACAACAATTGGCACTACTTTAATTGAGCTTTATAGCAAAGTAGTATAGATTGTTCACATATAAAAGTCTTCAGATGAAGCAATAATAAAACAGAATCCTTATCTATCTTTATTTTGTTAAAATAATCATTTATTTACTTTTGTTTACACATTTATTTTATCATCACTAACTTATAACAACTCTTTGCGATAGTTATAAGCATACTTCTTGTTATATTTGTTCTTTCTATATACATTTTACTACATCTCCTTACTGTTGGATAGACTCAAGTGTTATCACATTATGGTGCAGTCGGAAATAATCATCAAAGTTTTTGACACTTTTCCAAACGTATATGACTTTTGCAAAAATTAAGTTATCATAAAGTTAGACCATGGAAACAATATATATGATTGTCATCTATTGTTTCCATGGTTTAGATTCGTTCTAGCTGTCCTAAACAAAAAGTTATATACCTTCAAAGTTGGGACATAATAGTAGAAATATAGCGGAGTTTACCATTTTTTTTCGATATTGAAAAAATAAATAAATAGGGGCCTCAGACAGTGATTTAAATATTATTTTAATAAGGCAATTAACGTGATTGGAACTTATGTTTTTACCAGATATCTTTTTTATTTCTTTGGAATGCCACATGTATAATTACTTTAACTTAACAAACTTCTATATTTCAAACACTTTAAAATGCCACGTCCTAGTAAAAGATCAAGAATTGCAAAGAACTTAAACAGAGTAGCTAGTACAGGAGCCTTTGCCAAAAAAATAAAGTCAACAAATGAAGAACTTGTGGACTTATACGAAATTGATTATGAAGATGATATCATTTTGAATGACAGAGAGCTTCAGAGAATGACTGAAAATGTTACTTTGGCTGTATATTTTAATCAACTTCATAAATGGCACAAAGATGCTGATAAATCTCTTTGTGGCATATATCAAAAGAATTCGCTAACAACCGAGTGGAGAAAAACGGAGGCAGAGAAGGAGAGATTGGATTCATAAGGAAGCTTTTGCCTTATGGATAAGGGATTTACAATTGGCACTCATAGCACGACTATGGATGAATCAGCCCAGTCTTCCAAAAAAGATGTCAAAGTTTCTTCTATAGACAAGCTCACCTTAGTAAAGCTTGCATATGAAGATGTGACAAAGAACCTTGTTCCTTTTACACGCCCTGGTGCATCATCACAGAAACAAGACACATTTGAGTTTTGCAAGCATAAGTCCATTGAAATATATTTTAGAAACAGGATTTCCGGACGCAAAACTATATAAGCATCTGAGAGAGCATCCATGGAAGTATGGGTAAATGCAAACACCTATCGTCTTGCAATGATCAGAAAATACGCCAAAGAATATCTCGATTTTTGGTCAATTGCATTGCATCAACAAGGAAAGCATGCCAGACGACCTTCCTTATTTTCTGATGAAGACTTTAAGACAACAATTTGCAAGTGGATTCAGCAGCAAAGACCTGAAAGTCGCAGTGCAATTTTAGTAAAAAAGAACATTGATGAAATTGTTGTGCCAGAAAAACTTGGAATCCCAGGGAATGTTTTGACAAGCATGATATGGAAGTATCTTCATAAATGGGGATACATCTTTAGAAAAAACTCTAAAGATATCTACTATGATAGTCACAAAAGAGTTGATGTTTTCAAATACCATAAGAAATAAGCTAAGTGGATAATGTTCTATACAGCAAAGATGGCAAGCTTTGGTACTAATAGTGACGTGACTATGCCACAGCTATCAACTGATGAAGTAGAGCATGTTCTCGTCACTCATGATGAGTCGACGTTCTATTCAAATGATGGAAAAGAAGCTATGTGGCTAGTAGAGGATGAGAATCCTATCAGAAAGAAGGGTCCTGACATGTCGCTTATGATTAGTGAATTTAGATATGCATGCCATGATACAATGGTCTAATGGTGCATGGTCCAGTCATGAGATGCTCCACCCTGGAGCTGATAGAGTCGGGTACTGAACTAGTGCTCATATAATGAAGCAGCTAGATAGCAACACTATTTCTTTATTTGCGCTTCTCCACCCTGAATGCAAGGCTGTGTTTGTATTTGGCCAAAGCACAAACCATAAGGCATATAGTCAAAATGCTTTGATAGTAAACAAGATCAACTTAGACGACAAAGAAGTTGAAGAAGATGATCCTTGTGTGTTAAGAGAAACCATATTTGCCCAAGATGGCGTTGAAAAAGTATAGGCTATGTAGTACAAGAAAGATGAGTGGTTCACCAAGAAGTCTGGTCAGTGGATACAAAAGAAGGTGAAGTATATGAAGGGTGTCTGTACGATTCTTGAAGAGTGTGGTATGTGGTTAGAGAAGGACCCATACAATCTACGCAAAAAGTGGAAATTAGATTGTAAGAGTAAAGACGCCTCTGAAGGTAGTAAGTGCTGTGCACATCATTTTCTGACTTCTCAGCCAGATTTCTTGTCACAGAAAACTGTTCTTCATGAGGCTATTGAAGGCTCTGGCCATCTATTCGAGCTTTATCTAAAGTTCTATTGCGATTGCAATTGGATTGAAAGGTACCGGGGTGCTGCTAAGCATGAAGCTCGCCTCCAGTGTAATTACATCTACAAGTCCGTGGATAGAAATATCCATACTTTTCTTGATAATGCTGGAAAGCTTTGTAACATTGGCAATTATTATAACTAATTGTAGCATTACATTGAGGCATATAGCCAAAAAATGAATGTGAAGGAAGCACATGAAGCTGTTAAGCAATTCACAAGCAGAAAGTATACTTCTTGTTGTCGTGATGAAGGGAAAGATTAGTTTTTTACCCTTTTTATATATATCTGTATTTTTTTTCTTTCCTATCATTTTTATTAATATTATTTTTTACTTTCATAATTTTTAAATATATTAAATTTACTTTCCTGATCTGCTAAGCCTTACCGCCTATATATCTAATTTTTTTAATATTACTAGCGGTCTTTAAAACGATTTGTTATTGGAGTTTTCTTGAGAGAAAATTGAAATATTTTCAAAAAATTCAATGTTTATCTCTGATCATACCATAATTTATCTCTATCTCTCTATATATTTGCCATCTGAACTCATTGGCAACTGTATTTTCATTTATTATTTTTCTGACAACGTTGCAACACGCCAACTCAACACTTGTCATAGACTATAGAACTCCCTCAACAAAAAAAAGAAAATAATAGACTTACCATACATAAGAGAGAAACAGAGATAGTCTGGCTGGCACTCTTATTAAATACAGTCAAAGCTCAATTTAGTAATATTTGATTTAGTAATAATCGCGATTTACTAATATTTTTTTCAGCACTTTTGTTCACAGTCATATAGAGCAAATCTGCAATATTGCTAAAAAACACATGCAGAGTAAGAAAAAATCAATTTGATTTAGTAATAGTAATACAATTTGGCTTCTCTTAAAAGTATTACTAAATCGAGCTTTGACTGTAATTGTTGTTATATATGAGGTAAAAATAAGATATAAAATAAAGCAAGTGCAGACAAGAGTATGGTGAGACTTTGTTTTATTAGAAGAAGTGAAAGAATCAGAAAAGAGATGCTGTTCTATTGCTATTAGTATTGTGCGTTTATATAGACATTGTATTTAGCTTGGTGATGATATGATGATATCATGTAATGTCTGTTTCTCTACCATTATCTTCTATGATTTAGTTCTTATGTTTTTAGTGTTATTGACTAGAGTCTTAGTATTTGTCTTAGTATGTTCTTTACATAATTTTCTTGTATAAGGGAAGATATATCTTTTAGTATTGTTACTAGTTGTTGGTAACTCAATGTACGTATTTATTGAGTGTCTGTACTTTTAATTTAAATCTATAATTATGTTAGATACAACAATTACGAAAAATGCTTATGTTTTTGTCATGAGATGACATAGCAGCATGCATAGAACAGTTGTCAAAGTTGAGACAAGAGATATGGTAATGGCTCTCTGCACTGCACTTTTATTCTCAGTTTTATTTAAATAAAGTTTCTTTCTATCAAATCTCCTCTTTATACCTTTTGGTCATGCAAGTGAGATTAGTCTTTATTTTTCTGCTAGTTAGTTTGATGGGTGAGGAAATAGCATCCTTGTTATCTATAGGCGGGTGTCCATCATATCTCTTGTCTCAGCTTTGACAACTGTCCTATTATGGGTTGTATCAGCCACAATAGTCGTAGCCTTTGCTTCGACTCCAGATATGCTATCTTTCTCTGTATTGTTAGCAGTAAAAATGATCTTTACCAAGGCTGAACTCTCTTCATGTTGGTTATTTGGCTTGAGGTAGTATTTCTCAAAAGTATTACTATGCAAACGCCAGCTTGCATGAATCTTGACTTGTTGAATTGGTAGGTCTCATTGGACTGCTCTTGTGCTCGAGGCTGCTCGTTGAGAGTGGGGCGTGAACAATGTTGTATCCACCCCCAAATTTTCTATCATCGTCTTTATCCATCCTACTACTGCCTTTCCTAATGCTGAAGATAATTTCTCAACCGGGTGATCCACGTAGGCAAGGAAAAGTGAGTGATCCTCAGGTAGTTCAGTTCTCTTTGCTTGTGTACAGTTGATAGAGATAATCAAAGTCTGTACAGGACATAATACTGGTTCATCTTCTAGAGATCTAAGACGAGAAATCTTGAATTTGCCTTCTTTTGGCACCCTGGAGACAAGAGTTAGCCCACTTATTGGTTCTGTGATACTGAACAAATCGTCACTCTTAATATCAGATCGGCTGGTCAATCAAAACGATACGTCTTGATAGTAGAAGCCTTCAATATCGGACCTGAGGTGCCACATCGTCACTATACACAAAATCATGATAGTTTTGATCTGCAATTGTTGTAAGGGCATGTCTTCATTTGTTGTGGTTCACGATCTGATATACAAGACAACTAGGCTTATATCCCAAGTCTGAAGCTTTTCTTCAGGAGGGATCGTTGTAATTTCTTTTCATTTGCCTTAAAAAAATCTTGCACCAGACTGTTTTCCGCCAAAAGTTGCTTGTCAGAGTGCAATTTACCATACACAGATGCAATTGCAGATCTCCATATATTCAAAGTAGAGTAAGTTAATCAACGGTTTGATACCAGATATTCTACCATGAGGGTAGGATTGTAGTCTTCAATATTCAATATAGGATCCATTTTCTGGTACCATTCAGAAAATTTCTTCCATATCCAATCATACGCCTTGCTGCTACTGTTTCTGACTGTTCCTTGTATATATGTACTTGCGGTTTGACTTAACCCAGACTTCTTCTGGTTTTTGTTGACAATATCTATGTGGCTAAGGACCACCATTGGCTTATTGGCAGAATCATTGGTTTTCCTACCATTTGCATCATTACCATTGGCCACCAATACTGACTTAGACAATTTGGGGTCATCTGCACTGCTCTCTTGACTCGATTCTGCCTGATCTTTTGGAGGAACTGAGGGATCAACTTCCATAGTGGATGTAAATATAGTTCTGTTGTTGGTCACGATTGTGCGAAAGCATTGGTCACAACGACTGCTGGGTTCAGCTTGTAGCTCCAAAAGGTTGGCAACCAGATATTTTCCCATGCGGCAAATGCATCCACTGTCAATATCCCAAATCTTTTCTGGGTTTACTGGAAGTATTGTCTTGGCAAGGTCAATTCATACAGGGGTTTTGCCTTTCGACTTAACTGGTCTGCCCATGTATTTTCTAATTTGGGGATTTGTTGGTAGTTTACCTTCAGATTGTACTTGTTACAGAAAATCTGCACGTTCAGGGCTAGTTGTTGTAGAATGGGGAATGCTGTCTCTTCCAACTACTTCATGTACTTGAGTGCTGTCATGTTGTCTGAAAACACTTGGATTGCACAGTTTTTGAATTCTTTTGCATAGAGTTGCAAAGAAAACAGTATCGTCTGTAACTCTCTAACATTGATTGAGAGTTCTTTCTTATTCTCTCTCCAGTACCCAACTGTCTACACTGCAGTGGAGGTGACTTCCCAACCTGTGTCGAAGGTGTCTACATAGATTGTCACTGCTGGTTCTTGTTGTTGAACTGTGGTTGTTATTGGTAGACCATTCTTGGTTTGTGCTATATCTAATCACCAGGTCATTTCCACTCGGGCCTGTGCTAAGATTGGGCATGGACTGTCTCATTTCTGGTGATAGTGTCATAGTGATATTGCCAGATCACTCTGGAGATGTTGTATATGGAGCACGGCTTCTCCTATGGCAGGTATCATTGCTGTAATTTTTTCTAACAGCCCTGCAACCCATCGGCAAGAAAAGATCTTTGTTTGTATTTGCCATATTCTGGCTCTCAGTTTGCTCATCTTCTTGGCTGGCACAGTGATATTCATTGTCACTGAGTTGAACGTAAACCCTAGAAAATCCTGTTTCTGTTTTGGGATCAGGTTGCTATTCTCCTAATTGATTATAAATCCAAGAGCTTGTAACTGATCTGTCACTTTCTTTAAGTGTTTTTCTATCTCTTGTTTGGTCTTTGCCAACACACAAATATCATTGAGATAGTGAACCAATCTTATCTCTTGTTGTCTCAGGGGCTCTAGAGCATATATAATTAGCTTAGAGAATATCCGAGATGCTAAACACAACCCAAATTCTAGGGGCTTGTACTGATAAATTAATCCCTGGTGCTGAAATAAGAGATACTTCCAAGATTGAGCGTGAATTGAAACTACAATATAGACATCTTTTAAGTCTATCTTGATCATATAATCCTTTGCTTCTAGCATCTCCCTCAAAGCAGGCACACCCTCCATCTTGAAATGGTTGCACTGTATAAATTGGTTGATTTGTTAGCAGTCTAAAATAGGTCTGATTTTGTTGGGTTCCTGAATGGTAAAAAACTGTAACAGAAATCGTTGGTCTCAGTTCAGTGAGAGTTCTGTTATATTCGATTCGTAAAATTTCTCTACACTCTTGTTGACTGCTTGCTGGTCGATCTCTGAGAGTTTGAAAGACTTGTTGATCCTCCAGGAAATTGTTTGATGTTGGAAGTGTATTTGGTACCCTTGGCTGATAACGGATAAGGGCCATTGATGATTTCTGAGTGTTATCCAGTTGGGAAGGAACGTTTTGAGTCTGCTCCCAGATGTAATCCCATCTGCAGAGACATTGTAGTGCTGAGTATTGTTGTTTTCTTTGTTTTCTAGACTTTTTTCATAATATTATTGGAAAGCAAGCTTCCAATTTTTAATTGAATTGTTTTTGATATTTTTTCTATTTTTAAGGACGCGTGCTTCAATAGTTCTAAGCTTGAGGGAGAACATTATTGGCTGCTGATTGACTTTTTGGAGACATAGTTGGTGCTCCTCGTCCTCTTAGTTGTTCTCTCCCAGAAAAACCTCCACAGTTATTTGTGTTATGCGTGTAACCTCTGCCCTGGTATGCCCCCCGTCCATGGCCCCCTCAGTCTGGGTACTGTCCACAACTCTGGTTGTAACCACGGGGACTGTCAGTGACCTTTCGCAAAATAGCATCTTTGTAATGGGCCATTTGTATTCTCTCCAGAGTCTCTAGAGAGTATGCCAAATCTTTTCCCTCGGCTTCTTCATCTTTGTTAAGGTATCAGATGGCATCTGGCAAACAGATGGCTTTGTCAGCAACATCGTTTGTCCCACTGTCAAGTTCTTTGTCTGTGGCATATGCATAAATTGCAAGCCGCCTAGCCTTTTCCATGATTGCACGGATTTTTTCTGGTAATCCTCTTATCTCGATGAGGTACCCAAGGTCCAATTAGATCTCTGTTGCGGCTCTGGCGGTTGTCCTGATCCACTCTGCTCCTTTGTGAATGGCTGCCACCATTTCAGAGGCTTCCACTTGGTGCTTCTTAAGTTTAGATTTGAAAACTGCGTTGATAGCTTCTGGCTGAGTCCATCGACCTCCATGGTATTGGAGAGTGGCTTTTGCAAAGCGTTTAAGGTTTTGCTTGATTGAAATGCTCAAAGCGTTTTCTATATCATCATGAATTTCTTTGGGGAGTTCGATTGGCTTAAATTGATCAGTTGTTTGACTGTCCCTTTTAAGTTGTTTGTAGAGCTGAAGAAGTTCTTGAACAGTTTCTTTACTGAGTTCATTGATATCTGACATTACTTCTACGATGCGCAGCTTAGAAAGGTATAAAAAGGGAATTTGATAGAAAGAAACTTTATTTAAATAAAGCTGAGAATAAAAGTGTAGCTCAGAGAGCCAATACCATATCTGAAGTCCAAGTGACGGCTACGACTATTGTGGTAGATTCAATGCACAATCATCTATCCTGGGGAATAGATATTTAATATTATGCTAAATCATTTCAAATAGTACAAATTTATTGTTCCTAATGTGTGAAAGTCAATAAACTGTTCTTGGAACAAATTATGCCTGCATGCATATTATAGCTAAACTTACATTTTCATTCCCAGACAGACATAGTATTCAATACTATCTAGTCATACAAGCAATTCCATTTGAGCTGAACATTATTAACAGATGTCTACAGACTATTGCTATGCTATATAATATCTCAACTTTATACTGCTAACATTATAATAATTTATGTAAAATTTTGCAGTGTATAAAAGCATATCAAGAGACTCTTTATATTATCCCAGCTTTTTATTAAAGCAAGTCTCATAAATTAAAAATATTATTGACATGTTTAAAATGCAATTAGTTTTTTTTTTATTTACCGAATTGCTATAGTCGATAAGAGCAGATATCTAGTCTTAGATTATATATATAAATGTATTACAAGAGAACTAAAAGTTTTCACAACTGGGCATAGTAATATATAATATTGAGAGTATCGGGTTTTTATATTAGATAATAAGCAAATATAATAACAAGAATGTTTTAATAAAACATATAAGAATAAAAGGAATCTATACTTTATATAAAGGTTTTGATATGGAATATATATCATAGAATTAACTTTTAGTTATATAATTAAATGTTATGAAAGAAAGAAAGCGCATATAGAAAAAAAAATTATTCTGAACACTCTAATAAACTGACATCATGTTCATCGCACTGCTTGAGATCTTTATTAGAAATAGATCCACTAAGAAAAAATTGGCAATTCAACTAGTGATTATAAAGAATGCTTATAATAGCTTTTAAAATCACTCTCTGAATCGCTCCTTTTTTGTAGTGATATAATATCTTACTGAAAATTATATAAACTAAATAGGAATTAATTTAATATGTTCTTATAACAGTTTGATCCACGAAATAGCTCGATGGATCATTAACTATCGCATTGTTTTTTTCTTTTTATTAATATATTAAATGTGTGACAGATACTATATATATGTCTTTTCTTTAATCCACCACACACACATACGCACACTCACCCAATTGTCTACTAATATATTGGCTGAACTGGTACAAAATATACTTGAGTGTCTGTTTCTTTTATATTTTCTTACAAACTAAGGATTATAATCCATAATTCGGACAGAATGCACTTTTTTGTAAACTGTTATTACCAATTGGTTGCGCAGGCGGTTTTTGTGTATCAATAAGCTAAAATAAC